CTCGCGGGAGTCCAGCATAGGGAGTGCCTTCTCACCCCCACTTCACAGCTCAGGAAGCGGAGGCACAGAGAAGTGTCTGCCCTCACCCAAAGTCACCCAGCTGGAGAGAGACAGAGTCAGGATTTGAACCCAAGGAGTCTGGCTCCAGGCACTCCCACGTGACGCCGCCGTTGCCGTGCTATCGGAAGAGCTGCTGCTTCCTACGCTGAGCCTGCACGCTGAGCCTCTAAGACAGGGCCCTTCTCCGTGTCGGGATCCAAGGTCCTGGGTTTCCTGCTTCCCCGGCTGTGACACCGGTGGCTGCCCACCCCTGGTCACTGTGGGTGACATGGGAGAAAGAGTTCACTGGCTGGGTGACATCCTCCTGTCCCCAGCAGATGTCCCTGATATGGGGCATCTCTGGAGGTCATGGCCGCGTGCGAGCAGAGCCCCCGAGGGGCTGCCGGGGGCTGGGGTTCTTCCAGTTGACCAGCTTTCAGGTGACGCCTCCAGGAGTCCTGGTGCCCAGAAGGGGCCTCAGGGCTGCTGAGGAGAAGAGGGGAGGCAGGAGCCCCCACCTCTGCTTTTGTTTCACTTGTCTCTTGAGTGTGCCTGTAAGATGTCTGGGGCTAAAAAAGGACCTTGACCTTGTGCAACAGACCAGGAAACCAGGCCTGTCAGGGACAAGTGGCCCGAAGTGACCTGGCCAGCCAGTGGTCGTGCATGGACCTGGGACTAGCCAGGGAAGGCGGCGGAGGCTCTTCCCGTACGTCCAGCCCCAAGGGGCCTCAGGGACAGCTGGCTTCTATCCTGGGCCAGGAACGAAGCTCGGGGAGAGGGATGGCCCTTGGGGTTGCCGAGGCCCCCTCACTCTTCCCCTGGGGCTGCCTTCTGAGTCCTGGTCCTCTTTCTGGCCTGCCAGCCACCTCCCAGCTGGCCACATGGTCCCTTGGTGGCCCCGTCCCAGTTGGGTGTGAGAACTCTGGCAGGGTCTGCCCAGGAGGCTCCTAGGATGTTCTGGGTCCTGGGCTGGCAACAGAGAAGAACCGCAGGATACCAGGGAAGCTGGTATTGGTGGGCCTCTCTCAAGGCCGTGGCCGGCCAGCCCTATCAGTCAGGCGAACCACACTATACACATAAATCTGCTAGGCCTGCTAGGCCTCTGGGTGCCAGACAGGGGACCCACCTCCCACAGCTTGGGCCACGTCCTTAAACTCCTGAACCTGCCGTGGCCACTTTGTTGTGAGGACAGGCCCTGCTCCCACTGCGGCCACCTAACATCATCCCAGGGAACCTCCAAAGTGGTCGACCACGGCTCACCGGCCCCTCTGCCCCAAGCCTGCTTCTCCATCCCTGCCTTGTTTTCCCTCGAACCCCACCCTCCCGGGCATCCCCTCCACATATTCCTGCTGTCCTGTTTCTAAGCTCCTCAGATATCTGGAAAACACAAGTGGAGACAATCCCCTTCTTTTTTTTTTCTTTTTGAGCTGGAGTCTCACTCTTTCGCCCAGGCTGGAGTGCAGTGGTGAGATCTCGGCTCACTGCAACCTCTGCCTCCCAGGTTCAAGCAATTATCCTGCCTCAGCCTTCTGAGTAGCTAGGATTACAGGTGCCCACCACCACACCCAGCTGATGTTTGTATTTTTAGTAGAGACGGGGTTTCACCATGTTGGCCAGGCTGGTCTCGAACTCCTGACCTCAAGTTATCCACCTGCCTCAGCCTTCCAAAGTGCTGGGATTACAGGCATGAGCCACTACGCCTGGCCAACAATCCCCTTCTAAAGGCAGGTGGTGTCTCCAGCACCAGGGCCACACGGCTGCAACAGCCCTGCAAGCGCCGGTGGGTGTGTGCTGAGACCATCCTACATGAGGGAGGCCATGGGAGGCCAGGAATTTGCAGGCCGAAGAGGGAGCCTGGAGAGTGGAGGACTCACCTCAACAACACTCCCTAAGGGGCAAGGAGTCCCTGGCATCAGGAGCTGCCGCAGCACCTGCTACGTGACAGTCATGGCTCCCTCCGGGCCTCAAGTCTGGGGGCTCTGGGGTAAGGGGTGGGGGTGGTGTGGAAGCGTGGCTGGCCAGGGGAGCTGGGGCCTGGAGGGTCACACGCCTGCAGTAGGTCACAGAGCCAGGGGATGGCTGGCCCCACAGACCCGTCTCCCAGGTGGCCAGCCTGCAGCCTGTGCCGTCTTGCTGAGCCAAGAGAAGACACTGGAAGTGTTTGTGTTGGTAGGCTGTGGGGTGCCTCCCAAGGGAAACCATTAGTCACCCTGGCGCTGGCTGGATGTGAGGCCACAAACGCCAGCAGAGCTCAAGGACTGTGCCAAGGGGTGCAAGGCCTGGCGGTCACCAGAAGAGAGAGGAACGGGATGGTAGAGGCTCCCAGAGTGAGTGTGATCCAGTCATGTGAGAGGGACTGTGTGTGTGTGCGCCTGTGTCTGTGTGTGTGCTGGGTGACAGGTGCCACCATGTCTGTGCTTCAGCATAGCGACCCCAGGGGGCAGTGTGGGCCTGGGTTAGGGTTAGGGTTAGTCCTGGTTCTGTGACTAGGAGCAGCCACCATGTACCCCAGTGGCCTCAGAGGGGGAACGAGATGAATAAGACGTGCCTGCCCGAGGGTGCCAGGGAGAGGAACTTAAAGAGCCCAGCAGAGGACAGGACCCGACTGCCAGGAGCACTGGCATCCCAGCCTTGCCTGCTGGAGAGGTGACTCGGCCCCCGAACCTCAGTTCCTCCACCTGTGAAATGCAGAGCATAAAGGTGGATGCTCACGGCTCTGGGCCTATAGGACAAGCCGGACAGAGGGCAGAGGGTATCATCGCTTTCACTACATTACTGGTGGCTTTCCTTCCCAGCCTTTCTGGTGGCTGGTCAGACATCAGGGCAGAACTTTCTCAAGAAGGCAGCTGAAGGAACTGGCAGGGGCATGGATGAAAAAACACAGATGACCTGATGGAACGGTGCCCCAGCTTCCTCCTCCTCCCCGTTTTGGAGGTGCCTCTGTTTGCCGATGATGGGCTCTAGGGAAGCTGGTGTGCAGAGGCTAGGTGCCCAGCCTTGCTTTAGGAAAGCCTCACAAAGTCTGGGGCCTGCCCGGGTTTCCCAGGGGGGCTCTACCGCTCCGCCCACTCTGGCTCTGCTCTGTGCCCTGGCTCAGCCGGAACAGGGGCTCGAGCTCCAGGCCTGGCCTGCCAGGGGCTGCCAAGTTGGTGCTGGACATCTGCAGAATCCCTGCGCCTCTCTGCCCTGGCCCTGGCTGCTCTAGCCATCTGGTCAGCAGGCCATGGGCACATCTGTCTCCTCCCTGGAGCCCTTGGTTCACTCTTGCTGGGTCTCTCCCTCAGTCCCTCCACCTGCTTAGGCCCCTGCATCTCAGGAGCTTTCTGAGGCTGGTGACCCGGGGCATGGTGGTCCCGGAAGTTCAGCCTTTCCCTCCGTACAACAGAGCGGTCAGACGGCAAGGCCTGGCGGTCACCAGAAGAGAGAGGAACGGGATGGTAGAGGCTCCCAGAGTGAGTGTGATCCAGTCATGTGAGAGGGACTGTGTGTGTGTGCGCCTGTGTCTGTGTGTGTGCTGGGTGACAGGTGCCACCATGTCTGTGCTTCAGCATAGCGACCCCAGGGGGCAGTGTGGGCCTGAGTTAGGGTTAGGGTTAGTCCTGGTTCTGTGACTAGGAGCAGCCACCATGTACCCCAGTGGCCTCAGAGGGGGAACGAGATGAATAAGACGTGCCTGCCCGAGGGTGCCAGGGAGAGGAACTTAAAGAGCCCAGCAGAGGACAGGACCCGACTGCCAGGAGCACTGGCATCCCAGCCTTGCCTGCTGGAGAGGTGACTCGGCCCCCGAACCTCAGTTCCTCCACCTGTGAAATGCAGAGCATAAAGGTGGATGCTCACAGCTCTGGGCCTATAGGACAAGCCGGACAGAGGGCAGAGGGTATCATCGCTTTCACTACATTACTGGTGGCTTTCCTTCCCAGCCTTTCTGGTGGCTGGTCAGACACAGGGCAGAACTTTCTCAAGAAGGCAGCTGAAGGAACTGGCAGGGGCATGGATGAAAAAACACAGATGACCTGATGGAACGGTGCCCCAGCTTCCTCCTCCTCCCCGTTTTGGAGGTGCCTCTGTTTGCCGATGATGGGCTCTAGGGAAGCTGGTGTGCAGAGGCTAGGTGCCCAGCCTTGCTTTAGGAAAGCCTCACAAAGTCTGGGGCCTGCCCGGGTTTCCCAGGGGGGCTCTACCGCTCCGCCCACTCTGGCTCTGCTCTGTGCCCTGGCTCAGCCGGAACAGGGGCTCGAGCTCCAGGCCTGGCCTGCCAGGGGCTGCCAAGTTGGTGCTGGACATCTGCAGAATCCCTGCGCCTCTCTGCCCTGGCCCTGGCTGCTCTAGCCATCTGGTCAGCAGGCCATGGGCACATCTGTCTCCTCCCTGGAGCCCTTGGTTCACTCTTGCTGGGTCGCTCCCTCAGTCCCTCCACCTGCTTAGGCCCCTGCATCTCAGGAGCTTTCTGAGGCTGGTGACCCGGGGCATGGTGGTCCCGGAAGTTCAGCCTTTCCCTCCGTACAACAGAGCGGTCAGACGGGACGCCTCATACATCCCAGACCCCATTCTCAGGAGCCCCAGGGACAGGGCCCGCTCTGGAGGCAGAAGTCGGACAGGCGGGGCTGGGGCTTTGCCATTGCCAGCCTCCCCGGTAACCTCCGGCCAGCGGCTGCTCCGTCTGGACACCCGACATGTGGTCCCCAGTTCTAGACCCGGGAAGAAGGCCTCCCTGCTCGCCGCTCCTGGGCCGCCGCCGCCGGCAGCAGCCAACAGGCAGCTGGGCCGGTCTGGCCGGGCTCCAGAGGCGCAGAGCGGGTTAAAGTGTGCGCCAGGCCGGCCGGCGCGGGCGGGGGAGCGGCCTGGTGGGAAGTGTGAGTTCCTCCCCGTCTGCCTGACAGCTATAAAGGCGGCCGCCGGCGCAGAGCCGCCACTGGGCTGCGCCCCTCCCGGGAACCCCCTCTCTTGGATGCTCTTTGAAGTGGGAGAGGGAGGCGGCGCGGGGGAGGAGGGGAAGGGGAGAGGGAGGCCGGGCCGCAGCCTCTGCACTCACGCCGCCCCCGCACGCACAGCGCACCTGGCGCCGTCTGCCCTCCGCAGCGCTCTCCCCTTTCTCTGGGAGGACAACCTGCTGACCCGAAGCCAGGTAGGCCACCTCGTCCCAGTCCCCCTCACGTTGCAGCGTCCACCACGCCAGCCCACTGCTCAAAGTGGGTTTGGGGGTAGGACCACCCCGCGCCCTCTGGAGCCGTTACATAACGTGGGGAGGCTTGTGGGGAGGGGTCGGGCCGCAGAGCACGGGGCAGGGTGGCCTCTCAGCACCTAGCCTTGTGCGCCCGAAGCTCTGTGTGCACGGCAGACCTATCTGCTGCCGCCAGCCGCTGCTTTTGGACCCCAGGGAGGGAGGGATCCCTGTGAGCGAGGCCTGGCCAGAAGCCAGCGGTGTCTGGAAGCCTTAATGAAAAGCAAGTGTGAGGCCGGCTGGCACCTGTCTTCAGCCGGCAGGCAGAGGCTGGGGCACCCGTTAGCCAATGGCACAGTGGAGGGGGCTCCTGTGGGTGTGAGGCTGGGAGTACAGGTGGAGGTCTGCAGGGGAGGGAGGTGGGGGGCAGGCGGCGGGGGCAGGGGAGGTCAAGGACTCAGGCTCCCCACTCCAGGGTGCACTGCCGCATCGTCCGGGCTGCAGCGGTGTCCTTGGAGTAGTCCCTGAAAATCTGCAGGTGTCCGGCCTGCAAGGAAACTCTTCAAGTTGGATGGAGGCTGCTGAAGAGGGAGGGGCAGAGCCAGAGTTGGCCTCTGGGCTGGCAGGGGTGAGGGATGACCTCCACGCTTTCTGCCCCTGGAATTGGCCAGGCATGGGGGTCGAGTCCCTGGGTTTGCTAGTGTCCTGCCTTGCTGTGTGGCTTTGAGCAAGTTGGCTCCCGTCTCTGGGCTCCAGGTTATGAGTGCAGGCTGCATGGTTTCTGAAATCCCTTCTCTAACTTGTTGGCCAGTGACACTCAGCACCTGAGCAAGGCCTGGACAGAGGCCATGGCGGATCTCTGTTCTTCCCTTCCACAGGGCAGGGTCCGCACTGAGGAGGGGGTGGGGAGGGCTGAGGGCCCAGAGGCTGGACAGTCCCTTCCAATGGGCTTGCTTTGACCTCTGGCAGGTGTTTTGAGCCAGGGTGCTGGCTGCTGGGAGGAAGTCAGCTGTGTGGCCCTGGACTGCTGACATGCTGGCACAAACTATACCTCCTCCTGCCTCGCCCCTCCCGCAATTCCATGTCTCCGGGGATGGGGAGGCGGCATAGGTACCTGGGTTCTGCCTCACCTGAGTGAGGTGTCTGTTGCTGGATGCTGACTGTGGAGCTGCTTGTCTAGGGCGAGGCTGCATGTTCCCCTGGGACCTGGCCAAGCCCATCTCCATGCACTGACCCTCAGCAGCCAGTGGCAGAGGCCATTCTCCTATGAGGCCAGCAAGAGCTGAGCCAGTCAAAATCCCAAGGTGCTCCTGCCAAGGTGCTCCTGCCAAGGGGCTGGACTGAGCCCAGGCCCATCCCTTTGAGCCACAGCCTTTCCCCTCTCCTGGGTCCCCAGACCCCTCAGCCGAGGCTGTCTGTCTCCACAGCAATTATCTAGGGGGCTCGAGGACTTGGAGGCAAAGCATGGCATGCTTCCCTGCATGCCCTTGGATCAAGGGTGGCGCAGGCTTAGCACGCACACCACTGCTGGGTGTCTTGCCTGCAGCAGGCATTACTAATCATTCTCCAAGCTCCTTCTTGCTAAGCCTAGACTGGGGCAGGGGGTTCATCCTTCCCAACAGGGTCTGCCAGGCAACCACGACCAACTAGTCCCAGATAACCTTGAGGCCTGGGCACTGGCTGGGCCCTGAGGGCTCTTCCCAAAGCGTACCCTGGTCATCTGGAAGAGGAGCGGAGCTTGCCTGGTGGTGACAGTGGCCTTGCTTCCTAGGATGGACAGCAGATGGCAATGTTCCTGCTGGACCTGGTCCCTGCTGGTTCTGGCGGTTGTGGCTGGGGACACAGTGTCAATCGGGTCCACGGTGAGTGTGGTGTTGTGGTCTGAGGGCCCATGCCAGTCCCCTCCCCAAGTGCTGTGATCGCTCCCAGATGGACTGGCTTGGAGGGGGCTGTGTGGGCACGTGCCCCAGGTCCCAGAACCCCTCTTGGCTCCTAGAAACTTCTTCCCAGAGCCAGTCAGATCTTTCTCTGAACAGGGCCCCTGGCTACTGTGGAGCCCCTGGTGACTTGGGCAGGAGAGGGCTGAGGGGGCTGAGTACTTCCCTTCCAAGTGAAGGCCCCAGCATGGCCAGTGTGGGCTGTGTCCTGCAGAACGCAGAGGGGCCCTGAGCTGCTCCAGGGAAAGTGAGGACAGTTAGGTGCAGCCCCAGGAGCTTGCCAAGCCCCCAGGCCATCCTAGACCTCAAGGTCAAGGAGGCCCTCCTTGGCCTGTGGTCTACAGTTCCTTGGGGGTTCCCCTCAATGCCACCCAGAAGATCTGAACCCAAGCTGCTGAGTGACCCTGCAGGGGGGTCCAGCCAGGGGGCTGTGTCGTCTAGTCCCACTGATGGTGATGCCCTCGGGCATGGGGTGGGGGCAGGCTGGTCCTGCTGGGCACTCAAGCCCTCTACCGTCTGGGGGTCCCTCTCATCCAGGACAATAGCCCGACATCCAATAGCCTGGAGGCGGGCACGGACGCCACGGCCTTCTGGTGGGGGGAATGGACCAAGTGGACGGCGTGCTCCCGAAGTTGCGGAGGTGGGGTGACTTCCCAGGAGCGGCACTGCCTGAAGCAGAGGTGCGAGGTGGGGCACATGGCCCTGAGGGCTGGCATGAGGGCAGGGCAGCGGGCAGGAGAGGGCAGTTGGCCCTTCAGCCTGGTGGCTTCTCCCCCTGGGAGGGTTCTCAGGTTGGGGGCAGCACAGGCTGAGTCCGCCCATCAGCCTCTGCTGGATGCAGCTATGGATGGGCCCCGGCACTGGTGCGCTGGGGTCCTTCATGCTTCAGGGCACCAGGGAAGCCCTTTCATGGGAGGGCAGGAGCCATTTCTAGAGGTCTGTCCTGGAGGCGGAGAAACACCCTGCCTTCTCTTCTGAAGACCTGAGTGAGGGTCTTTAGAGAATGCCAGGGAGCCTCGGGAGAAGCAGAGGACTGGCAGTGAAAGCCTCCACTGCCAGATGGACCCGGTTCCTATCTGACCTGTGCTACTCCCTTGCTGTGTGACCTTGGACAAGTCACTTAACCTCTCTGGGCATCAGTTTTCTCATCCATGGTATGGAGAGCGTGCTGGTCCCACCTCATGCTTCTGAGAACACACATGTGTGTGCACCTGGGCACAGGCCTGGCACGCAACTCACGTGGTGGTTTCAGTTCTGTGTACGGAGCCCCTGTGCTATGTGCCACTGATGTAGAAGTGAATCAAATCTCATTCTCCCTCGGCTCTGATGTGTGTATGGGGTGGGAGCTGAGTAGAGAGGAAGGGAGCCCTCTGGGTCATGGGAATCAGGGGAGATTCTGGACCCCAGTGGCCGTGGGGCCAGCCCAGGCGACATTCCTGAAACTCCTCTGCAGCTCTCACTCCGAGCCTGCATCTTTCTGCCAGGAGGAAGTCCGCCCCAGGCCCCGGGAACAGGACCTGCACGGGCACGTCTAAGCGGTACCAGCTCTGCAGAGTGCAGGTGAGGCCTGGCTTGGGCAGGGGCACCATGGCCTGCTCTCCCCGTCATCATGCAGTTTTCAGGGGGTCTTCCCGGTGGCTCCTGGGCCTCCTGGGCATTCTGTTCTGGGCCTGCACTTCAAGGAGAGCCCAGGAGCAGAGTTGAAGAGAAGGTTGCGGGGGGCCCTGGGCTAGGACGGAGCCATCCACTGTCCAGACCGCTGTCTGTGTGCCCACAAGTGCTCAGCGATGCTGGGACGGGCGGACTCACTGTGCTCCTGGAGCTTCAAGTGCAGCCTCAAGGTTTGGTCGCGGCTCCACTTTACTCATAACATTCGTGCACCTGCTGCTCACAGAGACCCAGCAGTTGCCAGGCTTCCCCGTCCCATGAAACAGTACCCCCCACCCCATAAAACAGTTTCCTGGGCTGCTCTCGGTGCCCTTCTGCTCCAGCCCCCATCAGCTTCCTTGGGTAGCCGAGGCTGGAGAGGAGGTGTTGACTCTGACCAGGCAGCTCCCAGTGGGGCGTTGGGCAGTTGGAACCTGAACACCTTTCCAAGGACCGTCGGGCGTGAGGCTGGGGCATGTCAAGCCGGGATCTGGGCCTCCCAGAGTGGCTCATGTGGCTTGCCTGGTCAGGGAAGGCAGAGCAGCTGGAGGTTTTTGTGTCTGTGTGTCTCAGGGAGCGTGTGCTCCTGTGCAGGGAGCGAGGGGCTGGAGGGAGGCAGGTAGCCACAGCTTCTGTGTTGGCGGCACCTGGTCAGCTGCCCTCCTAGGATGGCGCAACCAGGGGTTGGGGGAAGGGCATTTATGAGCTCCAGCATGAGAGGGACCCAGGTTTGAGCTCTGGCCCCAGCACGACTAAGCTGGGTCCCCCCGAGGACGAGTCTCTTGTCTGCAAGCTGGGTTCCTCTTTATGGAGTCAGGACCACGATCTTCCTGATTCAGGCGGTGTGCGTGGCCACGGACCATGTGCCAGGCCCTGTTCCGGCGCTGTGGACACACAGTCTGGGCCTGCTGAGGACGGGGGCAAGGGGAGCATCCTTGCCAGCCGTAGTAGGGTCATGTCCCCTCCACCGCAAGACTGGGAGAAGGCGTGGTGGGGAATGGGAGGGTTGCGTCTAGAGTAGGCAGAGGGCTGGCGTGGAGGGCGGAGCTGCCCTTCCCTGTGTCCTTGCTCCCTCCGGAGAGTGTGTGGGAGCGAACAGGAGCCTGAGAGGCCACCCCATGGGCCGTGGCCCCCGCACGGCTGTCCCGGCTGCAGCCACTTCCTGCTTAGCCTGGACAAAAATGCCTTTGTCGGGCCGAGTTCCTCCCGGAGCCTCCCTGTCCCCTCACTTCCCAGGAGTGTCCGCCGGACGGGAGGAGCTTCCGCGAGGAGCAGTGCGTCTCCTTCAACTCCCACGTGTACAACGGGCGGACGCACCAGTGGAAGCCTCTGTACCCGGGTACCTGCCGCCCTGGGGACCCACCTTGCAGGGAGCTGACCGAGCTTTGGGGGTGGCCCTTCTGGCACCTGGGACCAAACTCGACGGGTGGGCAGGTGGGGAAATGGAGGTGGTCAGACAAGGAGTCAGGAATGAACTTGGGTCTCCTGAGCCCTGGCCCAGGGGTCTGTCCCCTCCCCCATGACCCATGACATCAACGCAGGACAGATTACAGGGCTGAGTTCCCTGCAGGCCTGACCTCTGAGGGCAATGGTGACTCTCCCACTTACTGGCTCCTGGGCACAGTCAGGAACCAGCCGAGAGGATCCCAAATGGAGACCGCCCATGCGGTCCCATGGAAAGCAAGTAGTTCAGGCAACAGCTTAAATGCTTCATCCTTCTCCTGCTCACCCATGAGGGCCAGGGCTGGGGTGCCCAGGGCCAGCAGCACAGGGGTGTCGAGTTGGCTCAGACCTCCTGCAGTGGGGGAACCCCAGTGTGGGTCTCAGGCGCTGCTCTCCACTCACAAGAAGGTAGAAGCTGGAACTCACGGGGTGTGGGCTGAGCCAGACAACCCATCAGTTTCTGCCACTGAGACCTGGACAGGTCCCTTCTGTTCTCCAGGCCTGAGTTTCCCCATCTATGCAATGAAAGCTGTCTCAGAGGGAGGAAAATGGAAGTCCCCTGAATCCGGCATTTCCTGTCCCGCTGAGACCTTCTGTCTTTGTCTCCCTCCACCAGATGACTATGTCCACATCTCCAGCAAACCGTGTGACCTGCACTGCACCACCGTGGACGGCCAGCGGCAGCTCATGGTCCCCGCCCGCGACGGCACATCCTGCAAGCTCACCGACCTGCGAGGGGTTTGCGTGTCTGGAAAATGTGAGGTTGTTAAACGTTGTAGCAAAAGTACCGCTGGTCTCACTGTGCTGACTGCCTGCCCGCCTGTGGGAGGCAGTGGCGGCCCCGAGGCCTGGCCACAGCGCCCTCCCAGCAGCCCTCTCCTTCTCCCTTCCTGCAGCCCATCGGCTGTGACGGGGTGCTTTTCTCCACCCACACACTGGACAAGTGCGGCGTCTGCCAGGGGGACGGTAGCAGCTGCACCCACGTGACGGGCAACTATCGCAAAGGGAACACCCACCTTGGTAAGGCAGCAGCATGCCCTGAAGTCCAAGCAGAGCTGAGTCTGGAAATCGGGGGTCCTGAGTGTGCTCCCGTCTGCAGCCTCCTGGGTACCACTGGGCAAGTCTTTCCCCACTAGAGGCACCGGATTCTGCATGCAGGCCCAGGCGAGCTGGCCCGGTGATGGTAGGCCTCTGTTGGTTTGCAAAAATGGGCAACCCTTTGTTAAGGACCTACTGAGTACCAGTGGACACTTGGCTTGGGGGTCATATTTGCCCTTTGAGACAGCCTGTAGGGAGGTGTTAACGACGCACTTTCTTTTTATTTTTAATTTAATTTTTTTCAGACAGAGTCTTGCTCTGTTGCCCAGGCTGGAGTGCCGTGGCTCGATCTGGGCTCGCTGCAGCCTCTACCTCTGCCTCCCAGGTTCGAGTGATTCTCGTTCCTCAGCCTCCCGAGTAGCTGGGACTACAGGCATATGCCACCACACCTGGCTAATTTTTGTATTTTTAGTGGAGACGGGATTTCACCATGTTGGCCAGGCTAGTCTTGAACTCCTGACCTCAAGTGATCCACCCACCTCCGTCTCCCAAAGTGTTGGGGTATAGGCATGAGCCACCATACCCGGCTAACACCACACTTTAAAAAGGGAGAAACTGAGGCCTGAGATGCATTTTCTCTGCAGATATGAGATTTGACTCTGGCACACTGGATTCTGGGGCCTGAGTTTCAGAGGCTCCCTGTCAGCTCCAGGCTGACCCAGCCCAGATCCCCTCCTTCCCTTGGGCAGCACCTGTCCCCTTCCTAAGCTACGGGCATTCAGCCCGATGTTTGTGTCCAGCTCTGTCCCAACCCTCGTGGGGGCGTGGGCGTCTGTGCATGGGACAGCACTTTCTACTTTTGGAGGGATGTCACTTGTAATGCTTGGCATTAGATTGAACACACTTTTGGGTCTGAAGAAAAGCTTGAGGAATGGAACTGGGTTATTGCAACCTCCAGACTGGTGAAGGCAGGGCAGCTTCAGACCCAAGTAGACAGGGAAACTGAGGCCCAGAGTGGGAATAATCTATCAAGGTCCCAGTGAGACCAGTCAAGTCTGTTTTAGAACCAGGCCTGTTAGGGCCACGGAGGACCCGGCCGTGTTTTACAGGTTGAGAGAATGACCTTCGCCTGCCACTGAGGGCTAACTGTGGCGTGAGTGTCAGCTCCAGGAGCTGCCAGTGGGAGAGCACTGGAGAGGATGGGGCTTGGACATAGGACCTAGGGACGGGCATGCCGGACTAACAAGGGACAGGGTTGGGGCAGAGCCACCAGGCAGGGGTGTGAGTAATGCGGGCTGGGTGTCCAGCAGGGTGAGGTGGGCAGAGGCCATTTCTTTGGTGGCCTCACTATAGGAGGCGCTAAGGTGTCTGATTTTCCTCCCTTCCTCCCACAAACCTGCTTACACGGCCTCCTGCTAGACCCAGGGCATGCAGAAGGAGTGTGGGCACTGGGGCAGCATGTGTCTTATAGGGCATCTAGTGTGTGCCAGGCACTGTGCACACAGTGAGGCCTGAGAGATAGGGCTCACATTCTCGTGGAACTCAGCCTGGGGCCCAGGGACTGACGTGCAAACAACGTCCCTCTTTCTGCATGCTCACAAGGTAACTCATTCATGCCTGGCAACAGCTCTGCAAGGCTGCCACATTACTATTGCTGAAATATACAGAAACAGGCAAAGAGAGGCTAAATAACTCATCCAAGGTCACACATCCACAAGAGGCAGAACGGGGCCTGAACCCGGGCAGCCTGCTCCTGGCCTGTAGTCCTCCCAGCTGAGCCACACGCCTTCCCCGGACAAGCTGTGCTTGGTAACCATGCTGGGGGCCGTGGGATGGGCTGGGGTATTAAATGCTCAAGAATCTTGTGAGCTAATCTTGCTAATTTGAAAATTAAAGTACAACAGCCTATATTTAACTACATTATATTTAAAACAAAGTCACCACTTTCTAATCCTTTGACGTCTAGAACTAATTTTTTTTTTTTAAGACGGAGTTTTGTTCTTGTTGCCCAGGCTGGAATGCAATGATGTGATCTCGGCTTTCTGCAACCTCTGCCTTCTGGGTTCCAGCGATTCTCCTGCCTCAGCCTCCCAAGTAGCGGGGATTACAGGCTCCCACCATCATGCTCGGCTAATTTTTTTTTTTTTTTTTTTTTCATTTTTAGTAGAAACAGTGTTTCACCATGTTGGCCAGGCTGGTCTCGAATTCCTGACCTCAGGTGATCCACCCGCCTCAGCCTCCCAAAGTGTGTAACTATTTTATCTGTGTGGCAAAAACACCATATACGGGTGTGCTGCAGCCTCTCTTCCCAATGCCACGCCCAGTGACATCACGTTGGTGGTGTAAACAAACATAGCTTCAGTCGCTTGCTTCAAGTTTATGTGTTGAAACCCAAAGAAGGGAAAAAAAAGTTTTAAAATGAATTTTGAAGTTAAGCTGCCCAGCCCAGTTATAGTAGCGTGAAACTGGCCACAGCAGGGGTGTTTACACCACAGAAACTGGCCAGTGCTACAAGTCACAGCTCCTGTTTCCCCATGTCTCCAAAGAGCCTACTGTTAAACATTTTCCAGAGCGTTGCTGTCCGTGAGGGACAGGTCAGGATCTCCGGAGACCTGTAGGTGTGATGGTGTTGGGGGAGGAATGGCAGGCGGGTGCTGGCCTGCGGGAGACACTAACCCCGGCAGGGAGGCCCACGTGCAGTCCTCCACTCCTGGAGGAATCAGGTGAAACAAGCATCAAACCCCAGGAAACGTCCGACCTGGAGAACCCCTTCTCTCCTGTCCCGGGGCGTATTAAAATCTCTCTTTCTCCCTAGGCTCCTCCCTCAGCTGCCTGCCAGCAACACCTCTCCTTCTCTCAGCACTTCCCCTCCAGACCCTTGGTTTCTTTCTAGCTGGGAGGACTGCATGGCTGCCTCCCCACGGGCCTGGGGGCCTTGAAGACAGGCTCTGAGCCGGCTGGTATTGTCCGATCTGGACCTCAGCCTGGGACCTGGCGCTTAGGAAGGGCGTAGGCAGAGTTGGAGATTCTATTTGCAGCTCTCCTTGTCCTTTCTCACCCACGTCTTTGAGTGTAGCGAGCCTTGAAAGTCAACGTGGTGTTGTGACAAGACAGGATTTTAAAATGGCAGTGATAACGCACGCAGGGAGCTGGGGCTCCATCGGCTGCCCAGGGTCTCCTGGGTGACACATGGCAGAGTGGGACTGAACTCCCAGTGTGCTCCACATCGCTGTGGCCCTCGCTGCCCCTTAGGAGGGGTTGGGGCAAGCACGGGCAAGCCCTCCCGTGGCCTTGGTAGGAAGGGGTGAGCCTGGGCAGGTGCCCAGCTTGGTTGGTCAACCTCTGCAATAGGATGGGTCTGAGCTGAGCTACCCAAGTGGGCGTGGGGGGTGGGTTAGCCTTTAGACAGCCACCACTCACCCTTCAAAAGCTGTGGAGTGGGCGAGCGCCATCCAAGGGTGCCTTTCCAATCCAGAGGGGCTCACTGTCATCCATTTGCCTCCAGGTTACTCTCTGGTGACCCACATCCCAGCTGGCGCCCGAGACATCCAGATTGTAGAGAGGAAGAAGTCTGCTGACGTGCTAGGTAGGTGCGCAGCGTCTGGCGGCTGCCTCACTGAGCTTTTGGTTGTGGGGTATTGTGCATGGCGGAGAAGGGGCACTTGACCCTGGACCCCTTCCTCCAGGACAGGGATGGGCCAGTGCCGTAGGCATGGCTGCAGGAGCCAGAACTTGAGCCAGCTATGTGGGTGTGGCTGAGGTGCTTACAGGGGAACCAGCTTTACCTCTGTGCATGGAAGGACCTTGAACTCGGAGCTGCTGGACAATGGGAGGGTGGTGATGTTGGGTAGGGAGCTCCCTGTCACTCAAGAGCCTGGCACAGGCAGAAGCTGGGGGCCGCTGCAGATGAGATCCCTGTGGGGTTCGAGGAGTGAGTCTCAGGAGGTAACGAGGTCAAGGTAGCACTGAGAGGAAGTCGGTGCAGAGGTAGGATTCCTACTCAGGTCTGGGGGCCTCATGCTGATGTTCTTGCCATTAGTCAGTCTCCACTGGGAGGCTGGGCCATGGGAGGGGAGTCCTCTAACCTGAGGATTCTGGAGTTATTTCCATGATGGATGGAGTGGTGAGACCCCATTTTGGTGGCAAATTTTGAGTGTAGTGAGCCTTGGTGGCAAATTTTGGAAGGGCCCTCTGTGAAGCTGGATCATTGGCCCAGCAACGTGCCATGTCTGCACCCTTTGGGCCACGGTGGGCAGGTGCCGACGCCTGTGAGCTGCTCTGTGCTTGACCCTGCCCTTCACGGGGCGGGCTGGTGACCCAGGCTATAAGGGGATGTTGTTTTTGGACACAAGTGTAGCCCCAAACCTGTTACTACCTGGGCTTACTCCCCCCACTGCCTCCCACTCCTCCTGAGAGCCAGAACTGGTGGGGTGAAGCCCATCTCCTAAGTGGGTGCTGGAAGACGAGGCTTTGCTGAAGGTCTTCAGTCTGGGACCCACTTCGGGTTCTCCTATCCCCTCTCCAGAGCCCAAGGGCCAGCCCTCTGTATGTGCCCTGGGGTCTGAGTGCCCCCACCCCAGCAGGTCTGTGCTGCAGACGCTGGCTCCACCACCCAGCGCCCTGGGGGCTGCTCCCTGGCCTGAGCGGGGAGCTGGGCCTTTCGCCAGGCCGGTTGCTTTGTCGCTTGCTTGCTGGGAGAGTGGAGAGGCCAGGAAACTCCACGTTTTCTGAGCTGGCTGCAGAGCTCTCGCTCTTGAAACAGACGCGTGGAAATACCAAGGGTGGCCTCGGAGCACTGGGAAAGCCGTAGGAAGGAAGGTCATTACTGTCAGGAAACAGGTTTTGGACGAGAGCCTCGGAGTTAACCCTGCGCATACACCTGGAAACGGGGCCGAGACAGCCAGGCCCCAGCACACTCCCCTCGCAGAACTTGGACTCTAATGTGTGTTATCTTCTGACTTTTCTACGTTAAGGGGGTTTTTCAAGCAGACATGTCCTGCTTGTTGCGTCTGTCTGATAATAAATTAATTGCCCCGGCTCCTCTGTTCATATTGCATCAGGAATTTGGAAGTCGAACTCCTCTTCTCCCGCGGGCCAGTTCCTGGAACTGGCTTTAAGGACACCCTTTGGAAGACAGAGTGTCCCGAGCGCAGAGTCAGCCTCCTCCCCGCGTCCCCAGCCCTGGAGGCCCCCTGCCTCTTCTCACTCTCCATGGCCCCAGGGAGAATCAGTTCCCCCTGAAACCCCACCAACTCTGGGCATTTGTTCCAGTCTGCAGGGGTCACCGGCTTTCATGGACCATTTGTTTCCATCCTGAGCGTCCATCAGGCTGGAGTCAGGCCCTGGGAGTGCCCACCCACCCGGCCCCAGGAAGAGGGCAGCTGAGATTGCGCCAGGCCGTCCTGGCCTGATTGAGCACCTCGGCCAGGTCCGGGTGCACGGGTTAACGGGTGAAGGGTCAGCATGGCCCTGCCTGCAAGGGCAGCAGGGAGTCTCTGCTCCTATGAAGAGGATGGAGCTGGCCAGCTCAGGGCGATCCCCAGGAAGGGCCTGGTGGTCAGCACCCCCCATGCTGGCCAGGGCTGCAGCGTCACTCTGTGTGGACGACGGGAGGGGCACCCAGGACTCCTGCTGGTGAAATCGTTCATTCATCCATCTTTTCACTGTGGCTAGCTTCCCTGGTGGACCAGCGGGGGGTCTGTGCTGGCCCATTTCCTGCCCTTTGGGAAGTCCACAGGGAGCTTGGGGCACTAAGGACGAGGCTGGGCCCCTCTCCACCTCATGGTGGAGGAGTTTATGCCCCTATCTAGCTTCACGTGTGCCTTCCACAGGCCACAGACTGTCCTCCTCCAGACTGCGTCCCTTGGTCGTGGTGCGACCTCATTACTTTGCAGCGCCTCAGCTTCTTCAAAGGCAGCTGCAAATGGGTCCCTAGGCAGCCGTGTTCAGCATCTAGACAAGTCCTTCATTGCTGATTTTAGGCTGAGAGGAATGTGCGTTTGCGCCTCCTCTGCATTCGCTGGCCAGACTCTCCATGATGGGAGTTTCCTGTTTCGGGGGCATCTGGGCCGGGGTTCTGGAGGGCAGGGCTGGTGGTGGTGGTTCCCTGAGCCGGTGACAGTACCTCCTCCCCCAGCCAGTTTGGCCCTTTGTGACCGGCGGTTTTGCCCTTCCAGCTCTTGCAGACGAAGCTGGCTACTACTTCTTCAACGGCAACTACAAGGTGGACAGCCCCAAGAACTTCAACATCGCAGGCACCGTGGTCAAGTACCGGCGGCCCATGGATGTCTATGAGACCGGAATCGAGTACATCGTGGCACAGGGACCCACCAACCAGGGCCTGAACGTCATGGTGCGTGTGCCGCAGGCCTTGGGGACCCCCGAGGCCCCGGGCACTGCTTCCCCAGAGTCTGCCCACAGGTGGGGGCTTCCAGCCTGTGACACCCCCAGGGCCACTGTGCACGTGCACCTGGCAGCCTCACCACTCTGGGTTGGGCTTCACGTTCAATCACTGTTACTCATTCACTTGTTCTTTCACTAACTGCCTCCCCCGTTCATTCATTCACTCAGATTTTGGTTCATTCACAGTCTCCCATTCACTCATCAGTTCATTAATTCATTTACCCGTTCACTTCTCACTCAACCACCCACTCTCTCACCCACTTCTTGAAATCATTCATTCATCCATCCATTCACTGTGGCTAGCTTCCCTGGTGGACCAGCGGGGTCCAGCAGTGGACCAGCGGGGGTTCCGTGCTGCCCATTTCCTGCCCTTTGGGAAGTCCACAGGGAGCTCGGGGCACTAAGGACGACGCTGGACCCCTCCCCACTCTATGGTGGAGGGGTTTATGCCCCTATCTAGCTTCATGCTCCGCCCCCCTGGGCACTATGGTGTTTGTGCTGGGTCCTTAGTGCCAGGGCCCAAGGTAGTTCCTGTGGCCCCTGCCCCCTCCCCTGACATGGCCTCCCCGGGACACTCAGGGGTTCTGGGGTGGGGCTCAGGGCCCGAGCAGTGGGCAGGAGAGAATGTGGGCCTGTTATGCCCGGCTTGCCACGAGTTCTCCTATGGCTAGCATCTGGAAATGGAGCCCCTGGTGGATTGGTGCCTCAGCACTGAAAATATGTAAAGGACTTGTCATGTCACCAAAGTCAGGTGACATTGAGATGGGCAGTTGTGGTGGCCATCAAGGCCTACTGGCTTTCCTGGAGGCCGAGGGCATACAGCAGGGATGGAGCCGCGCCCCCTCCCTACCTGAGCTGTTTTGGTTTCCAGATATCACTGTAGTGGGTTTCATTGCCTCACGTTGCAGGTAATGAAATGTAGGTATAGAGAGGTGAGTGACTTGAGCAGTCATGGAATTGTAAGTGGGACGACTGGGCTTTGAACCCAGGCCTGCCTGGTGCCAGAGCCTGTTCTTTGTTTAGCTGCTGTGCTGGAGGGGTCTCTAACTGGGGGTGCTTGTCCGTCTCCCCACACTGCTTTTTGGCTGAAGAGCTTTCCTGGTGACCCCGGAATCAAATGGGGGCCACACATCTCTGTGTCTATGCTTACCTGGCCCTGCCTGGAGCTGTGTCTGGAGGTGAACTGGCCACCTGGCTTCGCCTCCTGGCTGTAGGGGCTGTTTTGTAGGTCAGGGTCCCCAGAAAATAGACTCTGAGGTGGGGGTTTGCGTGCAAGAGGGCTTGGGGGAAGTGTCAGGAGCGGTCTTGGGAACACTGGTTGGTATGGGCAGGAGGGCATGGGACTAGACAGAGGGGGCAGCTGAGCTGTGATGCAGTTTCTGTGGGCTTCGGCCAGTCCCCCCGGGATCGCATTATCTCCAGTTGGGGCAGGAGGACATCATTTATTGCCACGTGTAGTTGCCTCTTGTTGGGGACATGACCTGGGGAGAGACAGCTCCCTCTGGCTGAGGGAAATGCCTGGAGCGGGGCACAGCTGTGAACTGTCGCACGCCCACCCCAGGCAGTTCACCGAAGGGTGAGGTCCGTGGTCCACCCCCGGCACGGCTTGGACCCATGCGCTTTGCATGAGTCTGCCTTGGCAGGGAACAGCTCCTCTAGAATTGCGTTGGTTTCTTTCTTGGGGAGCCTTACAGGAGGAAGTTTGGTGGGCTGAACTGCAGCTGGTGTAGGGGCTGCAACTGACACTCAGTTTCCTCCTTCTGTGACACGCTGTATTTCCCCTTAGCCTGAGCTAGCACCTCAGCGGGGCCAGGTGGCTACCTGGTGAGGTGACCCTGGTCTCCATAGCCTTCTCAACCTGAGGCTGCTGGCTTTGTCCAGTTATCATCACAAGGGGCAGGGGGATACCAAGAGATGCCCAGGGCATCAGCAGGTGTCACATAGATTCTTTGGCCCCAGGGTCAAACAATGCCTTTCCTACTCTTTTTTTTTTTTTTTAATAGAGAGAGGGTTTTTTTTTTTTTTTTTTTTTGAGATGGAGTCTCGCTCTGTCGCCCAGGCTGGAGTGCAGTGGTGCGATCTCGGCTCACTGCAAGCTCCGCCTCCCGGGTTCACGCCATTCTCCTGCCTCAGCCTCCTGAGTAGCTGGGACTACAGGCGCCCGCCACCACGCCCGGCTAACTTTTTGTATCTTTAGTAGAGATGGGGTTTCACCGTGGTCTCGATCTCCTGACCTTGTGATCCGCCTGCCTCGGCCTCCCAAAGTGCTGGGATTTACAGGCATGAGCCACCGTGCCCGGCATAAGAGAGAGGGTCTTGCTATGTTGTCCAGGCTGGTCTCGAACTCTGAGCCTCAAGTGACCCTCCTGCCTCGGCCTCTCAAAATGCTTGGATTATAGGCGTGAGCCACCTCCCCTGGCCTCTCTGCTGTTGATCATCAAGGTCGACCACCCCGCCAGGATGGCCACTCGTTTCCACGCTGCTGGTCTCTTGGTACAAAATGCCCAAATGGACCATGTGTGGCCACAGCCTAGGGCGTAATGAAACTGTTGCTGCATCTTTGGATGGAAACATTCCCCCTGTGCAAACCAAGTCCTCTAGACCACAGACCCCAGAGCTGCAGGGATGGGGAACACACAGTCCCCAAGTGGTGGCTGGGAATGATCGCTACTGCTACTGCATGGGTCCTCTCCTTCGTCCCAGAGCCATGTCGTCTACGTACTGGGCACATAGCACCAGGACGAGGCACAGGGCCAGAGATGAGTCTGCCTTGGCAGGGAACAGCTCCTCTAGAATTGCGTTGGTTTCTTTCTTGGGGAGCCTTACAGGAGGAAGTTTGGTGGGCTGAACTGCAGCTGGTGTAGGGGCTGCAACTGACACTCAGTTTCCTCCTTCTGTGACACGCTGTATTTCCCCTTAGCCTGAGCTAGCACCTCAGCGGGGCCAGGTGGCTACCTGGTGAGGTGACCCTGGTCTCCATAGCCTTCTCAACCTGAGGCTGCTGGCTTTGTCCAGTTATCATCACAAGGGGCAGGGGGATACCAAGAGATGCCCAGGGCATCAGCAGGTGTCACATAGATTCTTTGGCCCCAGGGTCAAACAATGCCTTTCCTACTCTTTTTTTTTTTTTTTAATAGAGAGAGGGTTTTTTTTTTTTTTTTTTTTTGAGATGGAGTCTCGCTCTGTCGCCCAGGCTGGAGTGCAGTGGTGCGATCTCGGCTCACTGCAAGCTCCGCCTCCCGGGTTCACGCCATTCTCCTGCCTCAGCCTCCTGAGTAGCTGGGACTACAGGCGCCCGCCACCACGCCCGGCTAACTTTTTGTATCTTTAGTAGAGATGGGGTTTCACCGTGGTCTCGATCTCCTGACCTTGTGATCCGCCTGCCTCGGCCTCCCAAAGTGCTGGGATTTACAGGCATGAGCCACCGTGCCCGGCATAAGAGAGAGGGTCTTGCTATGTTGTCCAGGCTGGTCTCGAACTCTGAGCCTCAAGTGACCCTCCTGCCTCGGCCTCTCAAAATGCTTGGATTATAGGCGTGAGCCACCTCCCCTGGCCTCTCTGCTGTTGATCATCAAGGTCGACCACCCCGCCAGGATGGCCACTCGTTTCCACGCTGCTGGTCTCTTGGTACAAAATGCCCAAATGGACCATGTGTGGCCACAGCCTAGGGCGTAATGAAACTGTTGCTGCATCTTTGGATGGAAACATTCCCCCTGTGCAAACCAAGTCCTCTAGACCACAGACCCCAGAGCTGCAGGGATGGGGAACACACAGTCCCCAAGTGGTGGCTGGGAATGATCGCTACTGCTACTGCCTCTCCTTCATCCCAGAGCCATGTCGTCTACGTACTGGGCACATAGCACCAGGACGAGGCACAGGGCCAGAGGGTACAAGAGAGCTGTGTCAGCAAAGGATGCAAGCTCTCCCATCCAAGACCCTTGTCCCCACATCCCCTTTCTAGCTCACAGCTATGGCTGTGTGTGGGGGGCCCTCACGATGAAGTAAGAGCAGAGAAAAATGGCCAAACTCTTTTCAGAGGTGGGTCGGCTTGCCCTGAGGGTGCAAGCTGGAAATGGGCTCTACTTCACTAAAGCCCCATCCAGGGCTGGCCTGGAAAAACGGCAGTGAAGGAAAATCCTTTGATTTATGTGGGTGGTACCTCATGGGGGATGCTCCACCCTCACAGGTGTGTGGCCTCTCAGCTGGCACCGTGGCTCCCCCTCCATTGCTCCATCAGGCTGGCGTTTCTGGGTGTTGTAGGATACGGCAGGCCCAGTGGATCTCACAGTCGTGTGCCCGTTGTGTCACGTCCTCTGATATAAAGGGGGTCCCTTTGTCCAGTGCCATGTTATTGGTATCCTGTCTCGGTCAATCAGATGCTCTGTGAGCCCTTGGGCGTTAGGGCTGGCTGAGGTTCTGTGGGCAGGAAACGCAACTTTTATTTAGGACCAGATTCGGCGTTTCCCCTTCCAGGATGGAAGCGGTCTGTTGTGATCAGGTTGTCACCCAGTAGCTGAGTGGCCTCCTTGAGAGGCGGTGCTGTTTAGAGGCTTAGTGTTGAGGCCAGAGACTGGACGTTCAGGAGTGGAAGGAGCTATGGTGGCTGTGGTGAGTGAGAAGCCGTGTTCCTCCACGCTGATTCATTGTGCCTGCAGTGGGGTGACCGATGCCAGCGACTAGCCTGTGTCCGGTGGCAAGGCCATTCTGTCTTCTACTGGGGTGTTTAGTGCCTCTCGCATGGTGATGCTTCCTGGTACAAATTAACGAGTGAAATGAAGACCTCCATTACACCCACTCCCTAGATCCAGCCACAGGGGCCTCCTCCAGACCTCATGGTCTCCAGCCTTCGGATCTTTCCCATTCAGGCTCCTGACCTGACCAGCCAGCCGAGCCACTTGCCACCGCCCGTGATTCAGTTCCTATTCTCATCTCGGGCCACCCTGCCTCCCATCACACCGACGCTCACATCACGTGCGCTGCCTGAAGCCCTGTAGGGAAGATTTTCCTTCACTGCCATTTTTCCAGGCCAGCCCTGGATGGGGCTTCAGTGAAGTAGAGCCCATTTCCAGCTTGCACCCTCAGGGCAAGCCGACCCATCTCTGAATCAAGTTTGGCCATTTTTCTCTGCTCTCCCTTCATCACAAGCCACCCCGCCCCCGCCGCCCACCACCCGCCAGCCGTAGCTGTGAGCTAGAAAGGGGATGTGGGTGCAAGGGTCTTGGATGGGGGAGTTTGGGTCCCTTGCTGACACAGCGCTCTCGTACCCTCTGGCCCTGCCTGTGCCTAACCCTGGTGTAACACTTCCACCTTATGATGGATTGCTGCTGGCGGAGCTGATAGGACTCATGTTGGAGGCAGCTCTGGCTGCGTGGGTCGCCTGATGTCCCGCAGCCCAAGCGTTCCATCTCTAGTAGGGCCTCACAGCGTGCCAGAAGTTTTTTGCAACTGATGTATATTTATTTGCTGCAGATGGCCTTGCTCCAGAACCACAGGGTTCTATGTTATGCTTTCCCTAAAGGCTTTCCAGAAATTCCGTCTGACATCTTTCCCTACCACAGATATCTCTATTTCTATAGGATCTGCCAGGTCATACTTTCCATGTGGCAGGCTGCTTGCCTCACAGCCTGGACGTGTTGCGGGGCCCCTTCCACTCAGGATTCCACCCAAAGCAGCACCTGTTTTTTTTTGTTTTGTTTTGTTTTGTTTTTTTGAGATGGAGTCTCACCCTGTTGCCCAGGCTACAGTGCAATGGTGCAATCTCGGCTCCCTGCAACCTCCGCCTCCTGGGTTCAAATGATTCTCCTGCCTCAGCCTCCAGAGTAGCTGGGACTACAGGCGTGCACCACCACGCCCAGCTAATTTTAGCATTTTTAGTAGAGACGGGGTTTCGCCATGTTGGCCAGGCTGGTCTCAAACTACTGACCTCATGATCTGTCTGCCTCGGCCTCCCAAAGTGCTGGGATTACAGGCATGAGCCACTGCACCTGTCCAGCAGCAGCTTTTAATGTCACCCAGCAGATGAATTGAACATTCTTGGATGTAGAATATGCTGGCTTCAGAATTATTCTTCGTGGTGGAGGGGATGAGATGCCATCAATTTCCCCTTCCTCTCAAAGAGATGTCTGGCGTACCCCAACCCACTGAACCCTGACATTTCCACTAATGTAGGGGGCCGCTGAATGTTCACGGGGTTGAATCTCTGCTCCTCTGAAAGACAGGTGCTTTACCAAGACCTCTAGCGCCAGTGCCTGCTCCTCTGAGCCGCTAAGTATCAGTGCAGAGGGCAAAGGTCAAGTTCTTGGAGTGGTCCAGATGCCTTTATAGTGTATTGTAATTGGGAGCGGAAACGTAAGCGTTGCCCTGGGTCAAGACTGTAAACGTGTACAGTTGTCCGCCCCAGGGGAGGGAAATCATTTCTGGTCCACCTTCTTGGCAGGGATAGAAAAGAACATATTTTCCAGATCAGTGGCCACCTAGGATCAACATGAGGCCATGCTCATCCGCTCTAGGAGAGAGAACACAGTGGTCACGCCCTGGCAGTGGAGGGTGCCCGCTTGGTGGAGGATGCAGTACCCATGTAGACTCAGATGGCAGATCCTCCGGGGTCTGTCTGGTTATTGTGGAGGCTAAACTATTGAGTTAAAGGCGGAATGTGGGCCAGGCGCGGTGGCTCATGCCTGTAATCCCACCACTTTAGGAGGCCGAGGCGGGTGGATCATGAGGTCAGGAAATTGAAACCATCCTGTCTAACACATTGAAACCCCATCTCTACTAAAAATATAAAAACAAAATTAGCGGGGCGTGGTGGCGGGCGCCTGTAGTCCCAGCTACTCGGGAGGCTGAGGCAGGAGAATGGCGTGAACCCGGGAGGCGAGCTTCAAGTGACCGATATCATGCCATAGCACTCCCAGCCTGGGGATAGAGCGAGACTCCGTCTCAAAAAAAAAAATGCAGGATATGATGGGCTTGGCTACGTCTGCCTCATGTAGGTCAGCCCCTGCCTTCTCTGTGCTGCTTTTTTTTTTTTTTTTTGGAAAACGGAGTCTCACTCTGTCACCCAGGCTGGAGCGCAGTGCGCGGATCTCGGCTCTCCTGCCTCAGCCTCCCGAGTAGCTGGGAACTACAGCGCCTGCTACCATGCCCGGCTAGGTTTCTTGTAATTTTTTAGTAAGGACAGGGTTTCACCGTGTTACGCCAGGATGGTCTCGATTTCTTGGACTCGTGATCCACCCGTCTCGGCCTCCCAAAGTGCTGGGATACAGGCTTGAGCCACCGTGCCATCTCTGCTCTCCATGCTTCTAAGTACCATCCTAGTAGCCTGGTAGCATTTCTCCCCACGTTCTCACCAATGTGCTAAATTCTTTTGTCATGAGAGGATGCATCCAGCAGTTCCTGAGGGCCGTGTCTGACGTTCCTGTTGGTGTACAGTCCCTTCTCCCAGGACTCCCCGGACCGGGTGAGAATGTGACTTAATCCAAGCTATTGCTCTGGTGGCCGGGAGCGAAGGGCAGGCCAAGTCCTGTGGGAGGTCCACGTGGCCGTGAAGGCAGAGGTCTCTGTGTCATCTTCAGGCCGGAGTAGTGCTGGCTTTAACAGGGAGGAATGAGACAGACCCATTTTTTAGGCTCCGAAGGCTTGGGACGTTTGAGATTTGAAGTTTTTCAAGCGTGTTGACTCAGATCTCCACACCCTGAGTCTCAAGGTCCCCTCTTCTGGTTGGACTCTGTCCTGGGCATAGCAGGCCCAGCAGAGTTGGGAGGAGCACTCTCTGCTCCTTGGAGGCACCTCTGCCTCTCCCACCTTCCAGTTGCTTGACACGAGGTGTCTTTCTCTGCTACTGTGCAGACCCTCACCTTTCCGGGCCGTCCTTTCATTCTTGGGGTCCTTTACTTCCACGGTCCTTTACAAGTTTTTTTTTTTTTTTTTTTTTTTTGAAGACGGAGTCTCCTCTGTCGCCAAGCTGGAGTGCAGTGGCCAGATCTCAGCTCACTGCAAGCTCCGCCCTCCGGGTTCACGCCATTCTCCTGCCTCAGCCTCCGAGTAGCTGGGACTACAGGCGCCCGCCATCTCGCCAGCTAATTTTTTGTATTTTTTAGTAGAGAGGAGGTTTCACCGTGTTAGCCAGGATGGTCTCGAGCGACCTGTGATCCCCCGTCTCGCCTCCCAAAGTGCTGGGATTACAGGCTTGAGCCACCGCGCGCTGGCCCCTTTACAAGTTTTTAATCCCTACCCCTGCCCCAGCCAACTCTCAAACACTTGAGCTATTACACCAATAGTGCCTTTCCTTTCACCCGGCATTCCCTCCTCAGTTCTAGCGGTGAACCTTTTCCACAACGGCATTGTCTTCCGGGGGTCTTCGTGCTCCAACCACTCCCAGATGGACCCCTCACTGCCTCTGCCAGCAGGTGATCCTCTCCAACACCTCATTGTAGAGTCTGCTTCCTAGGCCTCCCTGCTCCTGACACCAGCTGGTTTTGGTGGAATCCTCTGAAAGAGCACGTCCTAGAGAGAGGGGCAGCAGGGGTCTGCAGAGGAGAAGGGGCCGGGCTGCCCCGGGGTCTTGACAGCGGCCTCAGCCCATCCCACAGGGAGCCCTGGCAGCGGGGATGAGCCTTCATTGTTGTCTCGAATTGAGGCAGAGCCTGGGTCTTTGTACTCCCACGCTGGCCTGCGCGGTGGGGCTCTGGGTTGGAGGGTGATGGGAGAAGGACACTAATTACTTAGGATTTCTAGCACGTGGTGAGGAGAAAATGCAAGCCAGGTTTTAATTGACTTCATTACTTAAATTCTCCACATACAGCCTGCCTCTTGCTACCTGTACCCAGGGCGGGCCATTCCCCCGACCACACTGCTCCAGCGCCCGCCCTGTTCTCAGGCTTTGACTTGGATGCCCCTGGGGCAGGGACGCTGTGTTGGGCTGGGCCCGCAGTGTCATTCCTGGGGGGACTCAGCTGTGAGTCACACACGGCAGGCAATCCTCCCAGCAGCTCTGTGGGAAGCGGATTGGTGGGGAAGGGGCTGGACAGAGTAAGGAAGGGCTGGGCCCCCCCTTCTCTTTCCCTAGGTGTGGAACCAGAATGGCAAAAGCCCCTCCATCACCTTTGAGTACACGCTGCTGCAGCCACCGCACGAGCCGCACGAGCGCCGCCCCCAGCCGGTCTACTACGGCTTCTCCGAGCCCGCCTCCGAGAGCGCTGAGAGCCAGGGCCTGGATGAGGCCGGGTTGATGGGCTTCGTCCCACACAACGGCTCCCTCTACGGCCAAGCCTCCTCAGAGCGGCTGGGCCTGGACAACCGGCTGTTCGGCCACCCGGGCCTGGACATGGAGCTGGGCCCGAGTCAGGGCCAGGAGACCAACGAGGTGTGCGAGCAGGCCGGCGGCGGGGCCTGCGAGGGGCCCCCCAGGGGCAAGGGCTTCCGAGGTAACCAGGAGGAGGGAGGCATGGGGGTGGGGCCCGGGAGGCAGCCCAGGGAAGGAGATCTTGGGGAAGGGGTCTCAGGCCCTTTGCAAACCTACAGAGGAAATTCGTAAGAGCTGCCAAGTACCTGCAGATGTCCTCTGGGCAAGCGCAGGTTAAGTACTTGGGATAGGTCCTTCTGTCCATGCATTCTTTGAGGTAGATATGGTTATCCCCATTTGATGGATGAGGAGACTGAGGCTTAGAAAGAGGAAGTGGCTTGGCCAAGTCACACAGTCCACCATGGAGGAGCTGGGAGTCAAACCTGGGACGGTCTGATCTCTCGCCCATCCCATCGCTCATACAGCGAGCACCTGGTCTCGCCTCAGCTGAGACACCACAGGGAGCAAAAGCTTCGGGGGCCCCAGGTGCCCCTTGGTTGTGACCGTGTCACTCTGGCCTCTGCCTTTTTCCTCACGGGCCTCCTCCTCTGTGACGGTGTCTCTGTGTGTCCCTTTCTGATAAGGATATTTCTCAGTCCACGATCATTTCATCTCAAGATTCTTAACTCATTATATCTACAATGACCCTGTTTCCAAATAAGATCACACTCTGAGGTTCCGGGGGCGGGTTATGAATTTTGGGGGGATGCTAGTCAATCCACTGCAGAAGTCCGTCAGCGAGAGATGGTCCAGGTGCGCTTCGTGCCTCCGTCTTGGCCGAATTTTATCCTCTAGTTGGGCAGAAGCCTTCCTTCTGGAAGCTTCTTGGTTCAGCTCGGTGTTTCCATCGCCCCTCGTCCAGGTCCCCTCCCCAGGGCAGCCCTTGCCCCCAGGGCTGGGGCACACTCATGATTGAGCCACCTGTCTCCTCTCTAGATCTCAACGTCACAGGGACTCCTCTCGCCGGGGACAAGGATGACCAAGAGGTTGACACCCACTTCGCCTCCCAGGAGTTCTTCTCGGCTAATGCCATCTCTGACCAGCTGCTGGGCACAGGCTCTGACTTGAAGGACTTCACCCTCAATGAGACTATGAACAGCATCTTTGCACAGGGCTCTCCGAGGAGCTCCCTGGCCGAGAGCTTCTTCGTGGACTATGAGGAGAACGAGGGGGCTGGCGCTTACCTGCTCAACGGGTCCTACCTGGAGCTGAGCAGCGACAGGGTTGCCAACAGCTCCGCCGAGGCCCCATTCCCCAATGTCAGCACCAGCCTGCCCACCTCGGCCGGGAACAGGACTCACAAGGCCAGGTAGGAAGCACTTTCCTGAGCCCTGACCAGGGCCCTCGGGGGCAGGACGGGGCCGAGGCCAGGTAGAAAGTGAGGCCCCACTGTGGGGGGTCTGGCCAGAAGGGCTGGGGTCCTAGAGATAGAGGAGAGAGGGCCCCTTCTTCCTGCAGTTCTCCACTCACTGCCCTGTGGATCTGAGCAGAAAGTCAGAGGCCTGGACTGGAGTGAGTTTTCCCCAAAAGTTACGTCCGTGGATTAGGATCCAGGGCTGAGCCCCTATGTGTGCAGCTGATGCGGGGAAGGGAGGCTGGAAGATAACAGCTTTAAGCACTGCTTGTGAGCCAGGGACAGAGCTCAGCGTTTTATATGCATGGACACATGCCGTTGTCACAACCGCCCTTAGCGGTGGGGTGGCTACTGTGGGCTCAGAGAGGGCTAGCGGTGTATTCGAGGTCCCAGAGCCCGAGGACCTGGGACCCCGAGTTCGAAGTCTGGACAGTCATGGCAGACACGCCTTTAGGAGGAGGCAGAGCTCCGGGCAGCTTCCCAAGTGCAGAGTGCCTCAGCCCCAGGCCTCAGCAAGGGCTGGAGAGGATCTGGTCAGTTCCTCCACGACCCTGAAATCAGGGATGAAGAACAAGGTTGGCATTGCAGCTGGCGAGGGCCATGAGAGAGTCCACCCGGGGCCAGGCGTCCAGAGCCAAGGCCGCAGCTGGGGCTACATGGGCAGCCATGTCTGGGGGCACCTGGGCAGTCACAGCCAGGGATGTCTGGACAGTCACAGTTGGGGATGCCTGGGCAGTCACAGCTAGACCTGGGGGAGCCTGAGGTTGGGAGCGTCCCTGGGTCAGGGGCCAGCTGTGAGCAGGGTGACCCCAGACCTGCCATGTCCCTACTGGAGCATAGTCCCTGGTGACAAGCTCCCCCCACCCCCAGATAGAGGGTGGGCCCCCCTTGCAGGTCCCCACACTTTCTCCCAGCAACTCACGTCCACCTGGGAGCTATTTTAAACCGGCGTTGAGTGGGGGTTGGAGGCAGGCATGGGCCCACTGGTATTTGGGTTTATTTTCTGAGGTGCAGCCCAAGCCCCTTGACTTTAGATGCAAGCATGGACTGAACCCGGCCTGGGCCGGGAGTGCTGAGTGGGTCTTCTTGGGACTCAGGGACTGAATTTGATGGGAGATTCAGGGTTCACTCTCGAGGTGATGTGGTTTGGGGCCACCCTTCCACCCATCCAGCCCTGGGACCACAGCAACGAAGCCAGCCTCCCTGGTGAGCCAGGAGTCCCCAGGGGATGCCTGCCCCTTTGCTCAAACCGTTTTCTGAGGCCCCTGAGGTGCCTGGGGCTGCCGGGCACAGGGAGGATGTCCTGGACACTTCTTGCAGGCTCTGGGCGGAACCCTACTTTGCAGATGTGGACAGAGTGGGGCCCGGAGCCTCCTCCGGCTACCCCTCTTCCCACAGGGGTGGCACAGGGCTGTCTGCTCACCCTTTACCCTGACACGCTCAAAGCCTTGGGTAGGTGGGACCTCTGACTGGTTCTCAGGACTCAGGTAGGGAGTCCGGGTCTTGCTTTGGGTACAATGTCTGAGTCTGATAGGGGACCCTGGGCAAAGGACAGGAGGGACGGACCCAGACAGTGCCTGCCCGTGGGAATGGCACTGCTCAAGGCTACCAGTCTGTCTGCATCTTTAGCGTGGGCCCTCCTCACCTCCCAGGGCGGTCCAGGGCATTACCTGGTATTCCGTGTGTGGGGTACACAGTAAGGCCTCCCGTAAGCAGAAGCTATTAGTAGAAAACTGAGCCTCCAAGTCGCAGCAGTTGGGGAGGGCACCTTTCAGGACCCATTGCCTGGGTCAGGGAGGCCAGCTCTCTGCCAGTCAGAGCCCTCTGAAAAGGTTTATCAGGGTGGCACCAAGACCTCACCGTGGAATTTGGCTTAAGGCATGGACACCATGTGAGTCGAGCATCTCTGTCTTCCTCTGGGCCTCAGTTTCCCCATCTCTCATTGAGGGGCTTGTCAGGGGGTGCCCTTAGGGCCCACCAGGTCAAATATTCAGTGATCCTTAGGCCAGGGTCATGGCACAAGCTTTCTGATCGTCAAGCTGCTTTGTAAAGAATCTCTCCCGCCCCATCTTGGTTGACTCTTACCCTCCCCTCCTAGCCCCCCGCCCCAGGATATATTGAATTTCCAGCGCCTGTCAGGGGCCTCAAGGATTGATCAACTAGGTTGTCAGCCCTCAGAAAGTTCCCGAGTGCCGAGATGCCGCTGCTCCCCCGACCGGCCTTCCATCAAAGGATGCTGCCGCCCAGGGACCAAAGATGGCCTGGAGAGATAAAGGGCAGAGGGAGGCAGCGGGGGAAACCACCAGGGCCAAAATAGCCACGTCTCGGCCGCGTTGTCCAAACACAGGAAGTCGTGTCTGCTCAGAGAAGGCAAAATCAAAGGGGGCAGCCCAGAAAGGAAAGGCTATTTTCATCTTTCCAGAAAAGCTTCAAACAATCAAGGGAGGGGCCCCTGTCACCAGACTCCGACTTTGGGAGCAAGCGTCTGAGACACAGAGACGCGGAGTCCCTCTCTGAAGCCTTAGGGGGAGAGAAGAACAGAGCACTTTCTGGCTTGCGTATAAACAAACACGGTGGCTTCAGAGCTTCTCCTGCCTGGGGAGCCCGTGAGCCTGTGTCTGCCCAGGCAGCTGGGCGAAGGACCCCGAGGAGTGACAGGCGGTCTGGTGGTGACTCCACGGGCGTCACCAGCCCCAGTCTAGCAGCTCTGACTTTCACAGCTGAGAGGGGCAGTGTCTTCCTTCCAGATGGAGGAGAGCGATGGGTTGGTGCTTCAGCGATTTCCTGGGTGTCCCATTTCCTTGTGCTACTTCCAAGAACGGAACCTGCTAGGCGTTGCATTGTTGTGCAAATATATGCAGGGTTATGTTCGAGAGTTGCATCTGCTCTGCCCCACACGTGCTGCTGCGAAGAGTGTGTGGGCAGCCCCTCCAGAAATACCTTTGGTGCTTAAAATCCAAAGGGTTATTTTGAACCAGGCCCGCTCTCTCTTGAGTCAGGCATGAGTCATGCTGCCTGCTGGCTCAGAGCGTGTAATTAGATAAAGATGGCGGATCACCTCCATGGGTGGGGTGGAGGGGCATGGGTTGGATCTTTTCGTTTCTTTTTGTTCTCGGGGAGAATTTAAAGCTGTTGAAAGTAGGTAGGGACCTGGTCAGCACAGTTTAGTGTTTTCTGAATCAAACATTAAGGGTTGGTCTTCCAGGTTCTCCCTTCCCTAAAAGGACTTACTCATCCCGATCTGGGTGCTCTGAGTGGCCCCCATTGGGACAGGTTTCCAGATTTCCAAGAAACTTTTGTTCTGAGATGACAGGGTCTTGGGAAATCCCCCACCCACCCCCAATTTTTTTTTTTTTTTTTTGAGACGGAGTCTCGCTCTGTTGCCCAGGCTGGAGTGCAGTGGTGCCATCTCAGCTCACTGCAAGCTCCACCTCCCGGGTTCAAGCCATTCTCCTGCCTCAGCCTCCCGAGTAGCTGGGACTACAGGAGCCCGCCACCATGCCCGGTGAATTTTTTTTGTATTTTTAGTATAGATGGGGTTTCACCGTGTTAGTCAGGATGGTCTCGATCTCCTGACCTCGTGATCCACCCGCCTCGGCCTCCCAAAGTGCTGGGATTACAGGCGTGAGTCACCGCGCCTGGCCCCCACCCCTGTTTTTAAAGCTTTAAGTTTTAAAGAGGGAGGAAAAGGCACTACTCTCCTTCCCCTCGAGCCCCAGGATGGGCTGGGACAGACTCTCCTGGCTTGAAGCTCCCAGGTGAGGGAGGCTTTGAAGAGACCAGCAGATCAGCCCCCAGCCTGCTGCCTTTCCTGGGCTTTGGTCCTCATCCCTTCTCCCTTCACTCGTCTTCTCCCTCCCTGAGTTTAGGGAACCACACCGGTGAACTCACTGCTGAAGCTCCTGTGGGTAGATCATTCCTGGGGCCTCAGATGTGTGGTCAAGGCAGCGTTCATCCCCAAAAGTTCTGCCTGGCTTTGGGATCCTCCCATTCCAGTCCAAGCAAAACAGAAGAGCAATCCTCACCCACTTGCCTAACACATTGTAAACTCCCCGTTCAATCCAAACGCATGTCTCTGTCACGGAGTCAATCCGAAAGTCTTTCTGAATATAATGCTCTAAGCCTGACCACCCCCAGGTGACGGAAGGTCCCAAAGAAGGACCTGTGACCCGGCCCACTTTTCAGCCCAGTGACGTATGGCAGCTCGGGGTCATCTCTAGCCAGTCCCTCTGGGCCCAGAGGAAAGTGGAGCCAATTGGGCAGGGCCACCTGCTGCACTGTCCTGTTTAAAAAGTCGAAGCTCAAAGGACCTGCTGTCCACCGTGCTGGCTTGCCCTCGCCCCTTTTCTGGCTCGGAGGCGGCGGGACTCCATGGCAGTGTCCCAGAGCAGATGCCCGGGCTGTGGAGCTGCCTCTGCCTCTGCTTCCCTCCTCCCCTGCCGAGTCCAGAATCAGCCTGCACATTGGATGTGGAGCTTGGGCCCAGGCACACCTACTGGTTCAAAGAAGCAAACAGTCCTAACAATAGTTGGCTTTGGCTGCGTAGGCTCCAGCCAAGAATCATAGCTGGTGGCTGGCGGGGACCCAGTGTGCCTCCCCCAACCCCAGCAGGTCTGTGCAGCCATGGCCAACCCGAATTGCACTGTAGGCTGTGGCCACACCTCTGCCAGCAGCCGAGCTTTTTAATTTTGATAATTGGAAGCTGGATGCCTAGTGTCCCCCATTCCATCAGAGTCCCAGCTGGAGGAGGGGGTGGGAGAGAATTCTGGAACATTCTTAGCACGTAAGACACCTTCTGAGATCCCCTCCCCGGTGGGAAGAAGGAACCCACTAGCTGATGTGAGAAGGTGATATCTAGAAGCCTGCGTGTGTGCAGGAGCAACTACAGTGCTGGGGGCCCCAAATTCTCAGGCCACCCTGCCCCCCAGAAGGAGCTTGGGCAGCTCCCATGCAGTTATTGAGATGGAAAACGATGTCTGTTCGATCCTAAAATGTGCCTCTCCGGGGGCGCCTCATCCGTTCCACTTCAGACAGTGGGAACTCTGACTGTAGCGGGTGGAGAGTCGGCCTGGGGCTGACAGGTGTGTGCTTCAGGTGAACATACTCTCCAAAGAAAACACACTCACCTGAAAAGCCAGAGCCCGCCGGTGAGGCGTGGAGCGTCTCATCGCCTTCTCTGCTTGATCTCGCTTTCAGGACCAGGCCCAAGGCGCGCAAGCAAGGCGTGAGTCCCGCGGACATGTACCGGTGGAAGCTCTCATCCCATGAGCCCTGCAGTGCCACCTGCACCACAGGTACTGGTCACGGGTGCTATGGGTGCCAAGGGGCAGCAACTGCCCTGAATCCATTTCCACAGATGCAGGCTGGGGCTGTCGGGCCCACCCACTAGCTTACAACCCCAAACTGCCCTCAGGGTGCTTGTCTGGTGGCCTCCTGACTTGGGGGCGGTGTGGCGTGATAGGAGTTTGGGTGTCTGGTGAGGCCACCCTCGTTCTCACAGTGTGCTAGACCGTGGTCGGGTCCAGGCCCCCAGGGGGTCACCCAGTCCACCACCAATGATCCCTTGTCTGTTGCCAGTGATACCATGTTTTGTTAGGGTTAAAAGTTTTTACTTTGGGTTAAAAGTAAGAAATTTTAGGTAGCAGAGATTTTACTTTTGCTTCCAGCAAACATAGTAAGGGAGTCACAGGCCCCTGTGATCTATGATGAAGGGAAGTAGGCAATTTCTAGGACCTCATCAGCAGGGGAGGAGTTAGGAGGGGAAAAAGACCATCTGCAGTGGTTCCTGGACAGACAGATGTGTGTGGTTAGTAAGAGCTGAGCTGGGATTTGAACCCACAGCTGTCTGGCTGCACAGCCACCATCGCCCTGAGACACTGGCCACAGCTGCTGGGAGCTGGAGCTGCCTCTGCTGCCCACTCTGGTACCCTCCCCTGGGGGATGCCACAAGGTCGGATGTCAAACCCGGGACCAGGATACAGGGGCGTTGACAGGGGAGAAAATGTGGTAGGGAGACCCCAGTGCTGGCTCTGAGGTCACATTTTATCTATTCTTGGGGCTTCATGTTTGGATGTAGAGGACACCCAGCTGCCCCTCAAAAGGTTTGATGCTCCTGGCCCCGCCCCAGTGCCCCCTATTTGCCAGGGCATTTGATGCCCTTACAGTCTCTGGCCAGTGAGGATTCCATGCAGCTGGGCAGTCTAAGCTTGGCCGCCCCCTCTGCAGCCCTGCTGGCATCTCAGGAGATGGGTCCGAGAGGGGGAGGGGCTGGGGCAAACCACACAGGCTCTGCTCACACTGGCCTTGCCTCTCTGGGGCTGAAGAAAGGGCTCCGTCTCCTGTTATATGAGCCCCCAAGCAGGGCATAGCCACAGGGCATGCTGTGTTTGCCCCTGTGCCTGGCATTCTGGAGGGAAAACAAGTGCTGTGGGCGGTGTGGTGAGCACCCGGCTTGGCCAGGCTTGCACCGCCTGGTTGACCACACCACGGGCCCTGGGCAAATTGCCAAATCCTTCTGAGCCCCCATTTTCCACAGGTGAACTGGGACACATATTTATGTCAAAGGTGGGTTGTGGGGATCCACATGAAACAAGAAATAGCCTCTCCTGGTCAGAGGTCAGTGGATGCTGCTGTGCTGAGGGTGGCTGCCACCACCTGACGCAGGGTGCGGCTTCCACCATGCCCAGGAGCAGCTGGCCTCGGAAGTGAGCCGTGTGACCTGCCTTCCGGGCAGGCCCCGAGGGTAGCTGAGCTTGGTGGCGGGGTGTCAGCAAGGGGGTCTGCTTTGCCAAGTCCTTTGCGGACCTGCCCTGAGTTCCTCCACACTTCCCGGCCAGGGGACTCCAAGTGTGTGGGCGTTGTCAGTAAGTGTCAAGCCTGTGGGCGTTGTCACTAAGTGTCTGCAAACATCTGTGATTCCTCCCAGACACATCGCTGGCTGGGGAGGGGATGTCGCTCGAGACGTCTGCAGGGTGAGGCAGCCTCGGTGGCGAGGGGCCTGATGGGCAGCCCTGTGTGGAAGACGTCCCCAGGGAGAACACAGCACCGTCTCCCAACACCCAGAGAATGGCAGGGAGGGGGCTGGACTGGGTCTGTGCAGTGTGGCCCAAGGTGCAGTGGGGCAGAGGACAACAGGAAATCAGAAAGACAGGTTTTGGCTTTGGAAGAAGGAAGCCTGCTTTAGAGGAGGCTGTTCAGAAATGGAAGTGAGCCACCCAGAGAGACAGAGAGAGAGAAAGGAGAGAGAGAGAGAGAAAGAGAGAGAAGGAAAGAGAGAGAGGGAGGGCAGGAGGGAGGGAGAGTTCCCTGTCACTGTGGAGGTGCTGAATGGCACTGGGCAGAAATAACAGACTCAGGGTCCACCCTTTTCATAGGTTGTGTCCGTGTGGATGTCTCATGGATGGTCATTGGCGTACCCTCCATCCTGTGCTTCGCAAGAACCCAGGCACAGGGCAGTGCCATCAGTGGGGCGGGTCAGCCTGCCCTGAGCTTTGGCCACGGTGGGGAGGCTTGCTTTTAGATTTTTCTTTGAAGACACTCTTTTGGAGCCACAGCAACAGAGGGGCGTGAGTTTGGCCTCAGCTTGGGTCACAGGCGGAAGTGTCTGCTGCCCTTTGGTGCTCCAGGGCACCGTGGTGAGGACAGCGGATCCCGCAGTCCCCAGGCTTCATCCTCCCCTTTCTTTTGTTTCAGGGAGGGGTTCTGTGACTCAGGGGGTTTGAAAAGCACCCTTTTCGAGATGGATGTCATCAAGGGGGTGCCCAGAAAAAACATCCTGGCACTGGATTCTCACAGGCTCTCTGGAAGGTTCTCATTTTGGGAAGGAGCATGCTGAGGCCTGGAGTCTGGTCACGGTCACGTCACCCCAGGGAGGCACTGAGCTGGGACTTGGATTCCAGTCTCTCTTGACCAAGGCCTGCCGCGTTTCCACTCCATGACGAGGAGCGAATGAATAACCAGGCACTTGGCGATGGTCTGCAAGTCCCCAGCCCCGCACCTCCCTGGGCCCCAGAGCGGGTGTCTCTGAGGCCTGGAACATTCCGAGCAGACCTGGCCGGGAAGCCTGCCTCCCCCTCAGAGAAGGCTAAAGGCTGCACGGCCCAGCTCTGGCGGGAGAGGAACCGTGATTGCAGCCTGGCTCGTCCTTGACGGAAAAAAGAAAAAATCCCGTTGTCGGCTGCTTCCCAGGCTGTTTCGTTCCATCCAGGGCTGGGGCTTGGAGAGGCAGGAGCCGCTGGCCTGCAGACACGCGCCGCTGGGTGGCTGGGCTCTCTGGGTATGGGGAAACCGATTTCCTTCTGGGGGAACTGGCAGCTGCAGCCAAGACCGTTCCATGATGCCCGTCATCCCGGAAGGCTGGGTCTGTCTCCGGTGGCCACACACACACACACACACACACACACACACACACGCACACACACACACGCACAGCAGAAGCAGCAAACCCTAACCCCAGCCCAAGGCCATTCCCACTGCTGCCGGCTCTCCCAGCATCATCCTGCTCCTGGGCAGGGAGCTGGGCCTGTGTGGCAGTTCGGTACCAGGTGAGGGTGTCAGGGCGAGGACAAAAGAAGCAAAAGGTGGAGATGTGGTCAAGGAAGTGGCACTGCTAGGTGAGGGCTGCCTGTCACCCACTGTCCCCCGATGGGATTACAGAGTACGGGGCACCAGCAAAGACAGGCACACAGTGATGATTAAAGAAAGTTCAGGCCTGGCATGGTGGCTCACACCTGTCATCCCAGCACTGTGGGAGGCCGAGGCGGGCAGATCACCTGAGGTCAGGAGTTCAAGACCAGCCTGACCAACATGGTGAAACCCTGTCTCTATGAAAATACACAAATTAGCCGGGCGTGATGACAGGTCCCTGTAATCCCAGCTACTCAGGAGGCTGAGGCAGGAGAATTGCTTGAACCCAGGAGGGGGAGGTTGCAGTGAGCTGAGATTGCACCATTGCACTCCAGCCTGGGCCACGGAGTGAGGCTCCATCTCAAAAAAATAAAGTTCAAGATGATGCTTGCTAAGTCTGGGGCATGCCATAGAGGGCAGGGCGCACCCAAGCCCCCACCATGACCTCTGAGGGGGCTGACGGGGCTGGAGCGGTCAGGTTTCACTCCCACCTGCCCGTCCATCCAGCGATGGGTGGTTGCTGAACGCCTGGCGATGGGGGACACCTGACTGTGTTTGCCTCTGCACCTCCATGGGGGCCAGCTGGAGTGGACTCAAAGCCCGGACTCCGTGACGTGGGAACTGGGAGCCCAGCCAGGATGGGTGGGGCGGGGTCGGGGTGCAAAGAGAAGAGCTCAGACCCGCACAGCTTAGACCCACAGTGCTGCTCTAATGCTGCAGTTCCACAAGCTGTGACTGATCCCCAAGCCAGAAAGCTGAGCTGGAGGTCAGGTGACTTGCCCCAAGTCCTGAGGCCTGTCTCCTGGGCTCCGAGGTGCCGGCATGGCTTACAGGCCCTCCCCTGTCCCGAACCCAGGGGTCATGTCTACGTACGCCATGTGTGTCCGCTACGATGGGGTCGAGGTGGATGACAGCTACTGCGATGCCCTGACTCGTCCCGAGCCTGTCCACGAGTTCTGCGCCGGGAGGGAGTGCCAGCCCAGGTACCTGCCACCGGGGGCCCTGGGCAGGGGGTTGGAAGGGGGTGTGCGGGGCTCTGCCCAGAGAAGCAGTCAGACTTACCCCGCTGCCCCGTAGAGGTGCTTCGTGTGCAGGGCGGTGGGGGTGCTTTGAGGAGGGGCATAGAGACCTCACCTCTCAGATACCACCTGTGTCTTCCCAGGAGTTGCAGTTTAATCTGTCACTGTGCCTCGTATACAGTAGGTGCTCCATAAATGCTTGCCACCATAGATTTAGAAACCATTCTCAACATTACTCTATGTTACAGAGATATCTTTGCCCCACCGGGTCCACTTGGCACATCTAGGATTTTTAGAAACCCAAAGGGATTATTTCCACGATTCCATGCCTATTGACTGTCCCTTGGATGTGGGTGGAGGCCTGTTTTCTTGACCCCTGGGCCTCGTCTCCTGCCTTGTGGACGCAGTCAGACTGAGCTGAGTGCATCCTACCCCTAGTGACAAGTGGGGTCCCCAGATGAGCCTGAGGGTGCCGGCCTCCACCGACGAGGATCCCACGCTCCTTGGAGGCTGAGCTCTCCTGCTCCCTGCGCACAGCCACACTGCCTCTTCTTTTCTGGGCTGCTCCATCCAGGGCCTCCCGCATCCTGCACGTTTGCTCCTTTCTGGGAAGGGCAGAACGCCCAGGGTCTCCAGAATGCTGCTAAGCCTGGCCCCGGGGGTGGGGTCCAGCAGGCCCTGTCGTTCCGCTCAGAGCCCATCAGCTTTGGACCTCTTATTCCAAGTCTATCTGCCTGGAAGACTTCCAAGTCTTGTTCATAACCCCTCCCAGCTCAGGCTGAGGGGAACGAGGTCTTTCCCCAGCACGCTGGCCAGGCCCCCTTTCTGGACACAGATCCAGAAATGTGCCTTCTGCTCACTTCCACCCTCGTCAGAGTCCCATGGGGGCACAGCCACCTGTGTGACACAGCAGGGCACAAAGGGGCAGGAATGCCGAGCCCACACTCAGGGCACCCGCCAACCACCTTGCTAAGGTGCTCCCTGAAGACCTCCGGGGCCGTCATGGCCCAGACTGCACCCTTGGGCCTCGACACCCTCCTGTCCAGCTTAGCTTGTGGCATGTGGTTTTGGACCACATAGGGGAGGGAGGGAGGAACCGTGTTGTCTCTAGGGGTGTGGGTTGCATGGGGTCCCGGTCGCCACAGGGGGATCGTTGAAGGCCATCTGCTCCCGGGGCAGGTGGGAGACGAGCAGCTGGAGCGAGTGTTCGCGCACCTGCGGAGAGGGCTACCAGTTCCGCGTCGTGCGCTGCTGGAAGATGCTCTCGCCCGGCTTCGACAGCTCCGTGTACAGCGACCTGTGCGAGGCAGCCGAGGCCGTGCGGCCTGAGGAACGAAAGACCTGCCGGAACCCCGCCTGCGGGCCCCAGTGGGAGATGTCAGAGTGGTCCGAGGTGAGTGCCTGCGGGAGCAAGCCGGGGGTCAGGAAGAGCTGGGGAGCTGGGCTTGGGAAATGGAGGTGGCTACACCTTCACCACCCCCCCACCCCCTCCCCCTGCTGCCACAGTGCACTGCCAAGTGTGGGGAGCGCAGTGTGGTGACCAGGGACATCCGCTGCTCAGAGGATGAGAAGCTGTGTGACCCCAACACCAGGCCTGTAGGGGAGAAGAACTGCACGGGCCCGCCCTGTGACCGGCAGTGGACTGTCTCCGACTGGGGACCGGTGAGGCCTGCACTGAGGGGTGGCTGGGCGTGCAGCTGGTGAGGGGACCCAGAGCTTTGCCTTGATGTGCCTCCGTTCCCATTTTTTCCGAGGCAAGGGTGTGAGGTGAAGAATGTCCAACCAGCCTTCTCCCGTGTTACCATAGGAATCAAAACTTTTCTCCAAACACGTGACCAGCATCACCTTCCCTCTATCACCTGTTTATCTCTCTGTGTCTCTCTGCCGTTATCTCCCTGTCTGTGTCTGTGTCTCTGTTCCTCTGTCTGTCTCTGTCTCCCTGTCTCTGTTTGTCTCCGAGTCTCTCTGTCTCCCCTATCTCAGTCTCTCTGTGTCTGTCTCTGTCTCTTTCCCTGTCTCTGTCTCTCTCATCGAGAGAGATACTCAGATGCTAGCTGGGGTCGCCTCTGGGTGGTGGGTGCACAGATCTTTTTAAGTGTGCTTTTCTCTGTGTGCTTTTCATCAAGCATGCATTATTTCTGTAATTAGAACAGAAAATGTTATTTAAAAAGTGGTTACCATGGCAACCGCTTCGACACTGCCTGGGAGCCACTCCTCTCCCTTGGGACTGACATCCAGGGCCCCTCCTGGCGTGGCTGCCTCTCACTCGATGTCCCCTGCCTGTCCTCTCCCCTGCAGTGCAGTGGAAGCTGCGGGCAAGGCCGCACCATCAGGCACGTGTACTGCAAGACCAGCGACGGACGAGTGGTACCTGAGTCCCAGTGCCAGATGGAGACCAAGCCTCTGGCCATCCACCCCTGTGGGGACAAAAACTGTCCCGCCCACTGGCTGGCCCAGGACTGGGAGCGGGTGAGTGCCCCAGAGCCCGCTGAAGGGCCTCCCGGTGTCTGGAGAACATTTGATTTGGCCGGAGAGGAGAGCCAGGTGGCTGGGACCACAGATGGGTGGAAAAGAGGAATTCATTGCAAATTATGAGGGACCATTCCCTAAAAATTAGTTTCGAATACAAAAGGCTTAAAAGGTAGGAAAACACCTTTCGAGTCCCCAGATCCCAATTTCGCATGGCTCAGTGGTGTGTGCAGAATTGGCATTGTCCCCAGCCTGGGCCCCCAAGTCCCTGGGATGCAGAAAGCTAAGGACGGAGGTTGTTCCGGCTGCCTGCTCCTGGCCCACGGGCCTGTGCAACCTTTGATCATGACCAGTGTGTCTTCCCCGCCCACCTGTCGTCGTCATCAACTTGCCATTTCAGACGAGTTGCTCTCCACAAATTGCTTTCAACCAGCAGCTCCAGGCAGATCACTAAACCAGATAATCTCGGGCCAAATTGTTTTCTGCTAAATTGATTTTGGCCAAATCATCATTGGCCAAATTGTCATTAGCCAATTTGTTTCAAAACAGATGGTTTTGTGCTAAATTGCTTTTGATCAAATCCATTTGGGGCCAAATGGTTATCGAACAAAGAGTTCTCAGCCAGTTTGTGATGCATTGGAGCATTCTCACCCAATTGCTATTGACCAGACCGTTGTCACCAGAGTCGCCGTGGGCCCTGTATAGGGTCCTGCTGGGCCCTGGCGCTGACCCGCTCCCTCTGCCCCGGCCTCAGTGCAACACCACCTGTGGGCGCGGGGTCAAGAAGCGGCTGGTGCTCTGCATGGAGCTGGCCAACGGGAAGCCGCAGACGCGCAGCGGCCCCGAGTGTGGGCTCGCCAAGAAGCCTGCCGAGGAGAGCACGTGTTTCGAGAGGCCCTGCTTCAAGTGGTACACCAGCCCGTGGTCAGAGGTGAGCTCCCCGCCGGCCCCTCTGAGGCTGCCTGAGGCCAGACCTGAATTTTGATCCCGCCCCTCCTGCCTCAAGGCTCCTTAAGTGCTTCCCGCTCCTCTCTCCCCGACAGCCTCTGTGAGGGCCTTCCTTCCCGGGAAGGCTGCTCAGCTCCACCACGTCAGCTGGTGCCAGAGCCAGCACCTCCGGGAAGCCTTCTCTGATCTTGTCCCTGGGATCCCTGTGGCACTCATCCTGCGCCTGGCAGCCCATGCGCCTGACACCACGGGATAGACAGGCCCCAGGTGGGCGGGAGGAGCAGATTGGGCTGAGGCACACACAGGGTTGGCCCTCCGGGAGCCACAGCCAAGGCAGGAGCTTGGGATTAAGGGAGACAGTAATACACACGCACCCCAGGTCAGGACACCGGTGGGGACAGAGGAAAGGGCAGTAAGTTTCCTGCACAGGTCTGGCCCCTCCGAGATTCTTTGACTCTTGGGCCCCCAGAATGCCCCAGCGTCAGGATGTCAGGCAGGACAGAGCTGAGATCTTGGCTGTCTTTGTAGAGGGGAGGAGAGCCCTCCCATCCTGGGGCCTTCAGGCGTGTGTGGCCACCCTGGCCCAGCTCTTTGCCGGAAGGGTCTCCTCTCTCCCAGTAGTGCCGTGAGGAGGGGTCCTTTTCCCCATTCCTCAGAGGAAGAAACTGAAGTTCAGAGAACTCTCTGGCCCACTCGGGGTCCCACAGTTACTGGGGGCTGTAGCAGACATTGGAGGCCAGGCCTGTCCATGGCCCTAGAGTGAAACCTAGGTGGGGTGTGGTATCTGCAAGGGAAGGGGGGCCTGGACCAGCTCATCCTGAGGGGCCCTGGGCAGGGAGCCCCGAGGTGGGTGGGCAGCCCTGGTTTCACAGAGGGGGTGGCAAACTGGGCGCCCCCTCACCCCCAGTTGTCTTGCAGAGCAAACAGGTTACTTTCACCTCCCCTGCTGTTTTTCCCTTCTGTGCCACTTCCTGTGGGGCCTCCAGGAGACTCCAGAGCCCTGCCCTGTGCCAGTGGGTGCCCCTCCGCCTTCTGGGCCCCACGGAGGCAGTCCCGTCTAGACTCTAGCTTGAATAACTCACATCGGCTGTGACACGTCAGCCCTCCATGCCCCTTTCACAGCAGCGCCAGCCCTGGCGCCAGTCCCAGCCCCTCCCACCTGGCGATGCCATGAGCTTCTGAGAGGGGAACCTGGGAGTGTCCGGAGGGTATCTAGGAATCACTGGGCAGGGGCTGCCATAGCCAGGCTGTTTACCTGAGGTCTCCAGCTACGTGTAGCCTCAGTTTCCTCATGGGCCAACTCTGAATACCCAGGCGACAAAATAGGGGTGTCAGATGGGACTCGGGGCCTGGAACGTTCATGGTGAAGTGCCCCACTGTGTCTCAGGCCCTGGTACCCGAGGGCTCTATGTCTTGGTCACTGTGGCGGGTGGGTGCCAAATCCTAAACCTTATGAGTTCAAGGCAGAGAGTCCGAGAGTGTGTGAGGAGTGAGCGGGGACCCCAGTGTGGCCCTGCTCAGAGATTGGGGTCCAGGTCCTGGGCCCTCGCCAGGCCCCAGGCTCTCCGTGCACGCTGGGTGGTGTCTGGCCTCCACCCTGATCCCCCAGGGCCTCTGCCTGCCCTATTGCACACATGCTTATTCAGGAGGGAGAACACCCACTCACTCATTCCCTGTTGCCCACCAAAGGACACCCAAGTGAGGAGGGGAAAGGCTAAGCGTGGGCCTGGGGCTTCCCGGGGGAGGCCTGGGCAGAGCCAGGACCTGAAGGGTGAGCCGGCTTTTGCTGGGAGTCAGCCGGAGAGACCACAGTGTGCTGGGTCATGAAGGCTCCTTCTGGAAAGGCTAAGCCCGGTGGGAGGGGAGAGTGGGAAGGGGCAGGGGGGCTGACTGGGGTTCCAGGGCCCCAGGGAGTCAGCCCAGGTCTGTAGTTTGGGAAGAGCACTAGCTTCAGATGGGGGGGCCACTGTGGGGCCAGGAAACTGGGACCCACTCGGTGCAGGTACCTTGCTGGGTGATGAGCCATGGCATGGGGGGCCATGAAGCCATGAAGGGGGGACCCCAGAGGGTGATGGGCCATGGCACGGGGAGACCATGAAGGGGGGACCCCAGAGGGTGATGAGCCATGGCACGGGGAGACCATGAAGGGGGGACCCCAGAAGGACAGCCTGGGATGCTGGGGAGGAGCATCCTCCTAGCCCTGATGAGGAGGTGGCAGGGCTGGATGAGGCGTGGCTGGCACAGACGGCTGGTGGGCACGTGGACTCCTCCTTCCTGGCGGCTGCCCCCCCGATGCCGGTGCACGGCGGCGGCTCAGTCAGTGTTTGTTCCCGAAGCTGCCCAGTGCCATCCACTCCCCAGGGGCAGAGGAGCTGGCACCAGGGCTGGCTGGGAATGTGCTGCTCTCCAGAGGCACGTCCAGGGGCTCCTCGGGGCCCTGCCAAAGGCTGATTGTCCTCACGCCGTCAGCGCCAAGCCGGCCTCTCCTCGCCTGCAGACGGTGCCAGCCCCCACCCCCTGGCTCGGAGCAGGCAGGCAGGCGGCAGTCTTTCTGCCAAGTCTTAATCGGTCCTCCTGCTCCTTTGCAAACAGAAGTGGAGAGTGGGCCCCAGGGCCAGGGCCTCCCACCCCGCCCACCTCAGAGAACCGAGGGCTCAGGTCCCAGACGTGCCTGGGTGACGTGGGGTCACCCACGTGGGGGGGAGTGTGAAGGAGCCACCGCCTGTGGGATCTTGGCAGGAGGACAGCAGGGTGACTGGGGCCAGCAGATGTCTCTGGTGTTCTGGGGAGCTCAGCGGGGTTTTCCAAGGGGAACATCTGGACAGGGAGCCACTGGAGGGGGTGGTGGCTTCGCGAGATGCATTTGATCGGCCCACAACAAACAGTCTGCACCACAGACCCAGGAAAGCTGGGGCCAGAGGACCCTCGGGGAGATGGGAGAGGAGGGACCACCCCTCACTGTGCATCTGGGGAGACTGAGGCAGCACTGCGTGGGGAGAGAATCAGAGCCTCCTGAGTGCCAGCCAGTGCCCGGAACCCCTGGGAGATGAGAGAGGAAGGACCACCCCTCACTGTGCCTCCGGGGAGACTGAGGCAGCCCTCGGTGGGAAACAATCAGAGCCTCCCGACTGCCAGCCAATGCCCTTTTGTCGGCACCTCCACTCAGCCCTGGAGCTGCAGGTCGGGTTTCAAATTGGCTTCCACGGGTCCTGTGTCAGCTGGGACTCACAGCCACCTGGGAAGGGTGGGGTGGAGAAGGGGGGATGCGCAGGCTCCCCGCCTCCTGCCAAGGCCCCTGCCGCATCAGGAGGCTTTCCCCAGGCCCTCTGTCTCTCCCACACTAGTGCACCAAGACCTGCGGGGTGGGCGTGAGGATGCGAGACGTCAAGTGCTACCAGGGGACCGACATTGTCCGTGGTTGCGATCCACTGGTGAAACCTGTTGGCAGACAGGCCTGTGATCTGCAGCCCTGCCCCACGGAGCCCCCAGGTGAGGAGCAGGGAGGCTGAGAGTGGGTCTGGAGCCTCCCGGGGGAGGTGAGGACAGAATCAGGGTCTGAAGGGTGAGCAGGCATTGCTCACGTTGATGGCAAACCTGGGAACCAGCTTGAAAGACCAAGGTGTGCCGGGAGTGGAGGCTCCCTCCCAGCATGGCTGAGCCCCACTGGGAGGGGAGAGTGGGAAGGGGAATGGAGGAGGCCTGACTGGGGTTCCGTGGCCCCAGGGAACCATGCTGAGACCTGTACTTTGGGAAAAGTGTTAGCTTCAGATGGCGGGGCCCCTGAATCCAGGATGACTCAGCTGGAATGGCCAGAGGCTGGCACACAGGGGGCAGGGAGGGGAACAGCTGAAGCAGGGCCTGGGCACCTGGAGGAGGGACAGGGGACAGGGGACAGGCTCCAAGGGGGTGCCCGGTGCAGGGCACGTGATGAGTTCTGTTTTGGATACATTGAGTGGTGGACGTGGACGGCCCTTGTGGACCCCTTGGGGATGCTTAGGCCTCCAGGTGTGGCATCTGTAGCTCCTCTAGGCATCACTCCTCTTGGGACACAGATCAAATCACCTGGTGTGATCTGGGACAGCGACATCTTGGGGACGGAGATGGGCCAGGAAAGAGGTGGCAGAGAGCTAGAGATGGAGACCCACCATGGGGTGGGAGGCCCACGGCACCTGCCCCTGGAAAACTGCACGTAGGGGTCCTTGGGGTTTTCACCCCTTGGGCACCTCCTGAAACTGCCCCGCTTCGCCCTGTGTTCCTTCTCCAGATGACAGCTGCCAGGACCAGCCAGGTACCAACTGTGCCCTGGCCATCAAGGTGAACCTCTGCGGGCACTGGTACTACAGCAAGGCGTGCTGCCGCTCCTGCAGGCCCCCCCACTCCTAGGCCCAGCAGCTGCAGCCCCTTCCAGACGAAGACCCAGCGCCCCTCCTGGGGCTGCTGCAGCTTCTGGGGCCTCCACAGACCCCCCTCCTGCAGGGCATGCTGGCCTGAGACGTGGCACTGAGTCTCGGCTGTCAAGAGGGGACTTCCCACGGCCCATGGACTTTTGTGCTCCTGGGGCAGAGACTCCGGCACCCACTGGCCTCCCCCAGACAGGGCCACCCGTGCCGTGGGAACCTGTCTGTGTTCCTGCGTGGATCCTGTGTGTGTGGCTCCCACTCCCCAGCCCCCAGCAGCCCCCAGCCGAGGGGCCCGAGGCCCACAGCCAGCAGTGGAGGTGTCTTGCCCCGGGCCGGCAGCCCACGCCCTCTCTAGGTGGCAGGGCCTTCTGAAGGAAACTTGCAGGCGAGCCCAATGTGGGGGGGGCCTCCCTCCCTCGGAGACCACAGGGTGAGAGGGACACAGGCAGCCAAGGAGGCCCAGGCGTGCTCCCTCCTATAGAGCCCCTCCCGTGGAGCTCTCTTCCCGCCGCACTTTCTACCCCGGGCAGAGGCGCTTGCCCACGGGACGTTTGGGGATGGACCGCGGGCCCCGCCCCTGCAGTCATCGTCAGTGCTCATCTACGTTAATAAAGTGGTCCTATTTATGGTGGCATCATGGGGTCTCAGTTGCTTCTGGCTGGAGGAGTGGGTTGCCTGGGGGCTTGGTGGGCCCGGGCCTGGCTCTGTGGGGTCTCTCCAGCTTGCTTAGGCCTGGAGTGCAAGGGTGGGCCGGCGGGGGCCACAGCACCTGCTCCAAGGAGAAAGACAGGTGCAGATAAAAGGCAACGAGAGGCGTGGGAAGCGTATAGGGAGGGCGTTTGGGGACATTGGGACTCAGGCACCGGAGGAGGAGTGGAGTTGACATCTCGAGCCCATCAGCAACTGGTACAGGACCTGTGGGGGCAGGGGTGAGAGACCTTGGCTAAGGTGTAGGGCACCCACCTCCAAGCACGTGGGCAAGAACAGAGGAGATGAGGCAGGTATTGGGGGCGTGGGGCTGGACCCACCTCAAGCTCTAGGAAGCAGCACCGTCACTGCCATTCCTGGAGCTCATGGAGGACTTCCTGACCTGGACTCATGGCTGCAGGAACACAGGGGCTTCTGGGGAGGGGCTGCTTCGTGGACCCAGCAGCAGGAGTGGCTTCTCCAGACGAGAGGGTGGGAAGGAGCACTTGGGAGAGGAAAGTAACACAGCTGGAGGATGCCGCATGGGAGGAAGGACGGGGCTGTACTGCCTGGAGAGGGCCCCAGGAGGTGTTTCCGTGCACACAGGTGGCCGGGAGGTGAGTGGTTGCCAGGCTGCTTCCTCAATGTGAGGCCAGGTTGTCCTCAGACTGGGAGCCAGAGCAGGGTCCATCGCAGCTTTAGGGTGGCTTCTGAAGGACTTGGGGCTCTGGGGAAAATGAGGCAGCACCCTCCCCCCAGTGGGTTCTTGTCTCTAAGTGTGCCTGCATTGAGGGGCTGCAATCAGGATGGTCCTTTCCATCCCTAAAGTCCGCGAGTTAGAGGCCCCTGGGATGGACTTGCTCAAGGTCCCCAGCTTGGGCCGGGCAGAGCCAAGTCGCTGAGACTTGGGGGTCTGAGGCCTCTCTGTCCACCTCACCTTGTGTCCCCCCTCACCTCGCTGTTCTTCTCTCCTCCTCTCTCCCCCCATCCACATCTTCTTCCTGTCTTACTGTTTCCCTCCCAGCTTCTCCTTTCTGCCAGCACTTACTGTACACTTACTGTATGCCAGGTTCTGTGCCCAGCACCTCCTCAGCTCTGCCTGGGTTTATCTTCCAAAAGTCCCCACGATACAGGCATCGTGATTACCCCATTGTGCGGAGGCTAAAACTGAGGTCCAGAGATGCTCAGTCACTTGTCCCAGGGGACCCAGCCTGTCCCCAACAACCCTCTGCCCAGGGGCTCAGAGTCCCTCCTGGTAGTTCTCAATGCTGGAGGATGGATAGCCACCTGGGAAACTCAAAATCAAACGTGGCCCACTGCTGTGCCCCCCAGCCAGAAAGCAGCTCTTGGCCCCGCCGGGCAGAGCCCTGGCCCGACTGGCTGCATCCTGAGGGAGAAGCTGACTCTGCCTCCTAGAAGTTGGAAGAGCGTGGGTGTGGACGGCCTGGACACCCGGGAGGACTGAAGACGCTGCACGGGAACGTGGGAGATGTTTTATTGGCCTTCACTTTCCTCAGGGAGCCAGCGGCTCCCCCAGCAGGTCCCCACGGTGGAGAAGAGTGAGCTGGGAGGGATGGGTGTTTACTTCGTTTCAAAGAGATCTACATATCTACAGAGAGAATGGAGACCAGAAAGGAAGTGGGAAATTGAATCAGAACAGCCACAGCACGGGCCAGCTCTGGGCCCTCACCCCCACCCCACCCAGCCCACCCCCAACGCTGACGCATCAGAAACACACTTCACAGGATGCACAGGGGAAGCCAGAGGTGTGGACGGGCCCGGGGGGCCGGGGCTGCGAGGGACCTCAAGGGTGAATGCCACTGGCCTATCCCAACCAGGCAGGGGAGAAAGTAAGAAGAGGTAAACAACTGAAAACATAACAATTATGTCTTCGCCAGCCTCTGGAAACTGGTGATTTCGTTTTTGAGTAAGGGCAAGAAGTGTCCTGCGCAGGCCACCCCTCAGCTCAGGGAAGGCCACTGCCCTGCAAAGCCTTGTCTTTGAGGACGGTGCCTTCCCTGGGCAGAGAGGGGCTGCCCCGGCCCTGGGGCTCCATGGCAGGGCCCAGAAGGAGAGGGAGAGCCCCAGAGAGGGAAGGGGGCTCCTGGAGCCAGGTTGCTGAGAGGAAATAGTTGCCTCTTTCTGGTTGAGGAAGGGCTGCCTCCCTGACAGCTAGTGTCCCGGGGTTTGGGGCATTTCTCTGGGGTAACCACTGACGTCATTTCCTTAGCAGCAGGAGAGCGGGTGAAAATTCCCAGGAGACCTCAGCCTGGGTGGGTGTGCTTGAGGGAGAGTGGGCTCAGATGAGGTCTTCAGATGGCAGCAGTAGGTTCCAGCTGCTTGGGGTCCACCAGGAGCTGGGACGGGCCTCCTAGGTCCTGCTGAGAAGCAGGTAGGGGAGGTGACCTGCAGCTCTGTCTCCCTTGGAGCTCTCAGTTCCTGTTGAGACCCAGAGCCTGAAGACCTCTGTCCTCAGGGTCTCTCTGTGACCAGCCCCTCATCACACAAGATGGGGAGACTGAGGCCCAAGGGTGGGAAGGGTCAGCCAAGTCTCATGGGGAACTCGGCGGTTTTCAAGCCCTGGGCCACAGCTCTGCCCAACCTAACGAGCCTCGGGCTGCCTCCATGCACTGCCACTTGCTGGCCCTGTTTCTGGCTGAGCACTGGGTCTATACGTTTCCGCGTTGCCTCTCCCACGGCAGGTGGGCTGCGACATGGCATCTCCCTCTCCCCGTGCCTCCCTCTTCCCCTAAAAAGCCGGTCGGGGCTGAGCATCCCAAGGGCCCTGCTGCCCCTGAAAGTCTTCCTTCTAGGGGGCAGCCTGTCCATCTGCAGGGAGCTCAGCACAATGTGTCTCAGCCTGGGCAGATATTTGGCACTTGAACCCTGGAGAGTGTGTGTGTGAGAGGGACAGACAGGCAGGGGAGAGAGAGAGAGAGGGAAAAATAGAGGAAGAGAGAGAGGCCGGAGTTCAGGGTGGAGGGGCAGAATCCTTGGTCTGCAATTGCCAGGAAGGGCCTTGCTGCAGAGCCCTGGGCCTCACTGAGGTCATCCCTTCCTTGAGCAGGTGAGAAGGCTGAGACCCAGGGAGGGGGTGACACATGGAGACCTCCTGGGATGGCCAAGTTGTTGGGTCTGAGACAGAAGCATCAGGAGTATCGGTGGCCTCCGAGCCTGAGAGCCCTGGTGCACGCCCGGCTGGCTGTATGGTCACCTGGTCCTTCCAGCCCCAGGCCCCAGCTGTGCCTCCCCCCAGGACACGTTTGTGTTCAGTGAGCCTTATCCCTGCCGTGAGCCTGGGGGCTCCCCAAGCCTGGGCCTCCCCTGAGGACAGGGATTCGAGGAGGGCTCAGCCAAGCCCCACTTGGGGCCTGGGGCCAGGTGGGTGTGCCACAGGAATCCCCCCATGGTCTCAGGACCTTCCAGGCCAGGGTCCCGGGGGCGGGCCCGGGTCACACGTCGGTGCTGATGCTGCGGCTCCGGGCGAAGGCCTCCCGCATGGCCGAGAGGCGGTTGGGGTTGAGCGCCTGCAGGCCCCCGAAGCCCCCCGCGGGCAGCTCCACGTCCTCCTGGCTCACGCTCTTGTAGAGCACGCGCTCCCCGCCGTTCAGCACGTCCTCTTCCTCCTCCGGCGGCTCCTGCAGGAAGAAGGCGGGGGGCTCGCAGTGGGAGCAGCTGCGGCACAGGGCCCGGGCCTGCGGAGACTTCTGGCTGAAGGAGGTGGAGGCAGTGGGGTAGAGCGCCGGCCCGTTGGTCAGCACCAGGTTGCGGTTGGAGTGCAGTGGGGGCAGGTGCGAGTGAACGGCGAAGTCCGGCTCCTCCTCGTCCTCCTCCGACTCGTCCTTCTTGCAGCAGTAGTACTGCGGGCAGAGGGACGGTGACCGTGTGGCCGCCAGCTCCCACCCCAGAACCCACACGCGGGAAAGGCTACCCCTGACTGGGGAGGGGAGACAGGCACAGCGGGAGTCGGGTGGCCCAAGCCCAGGCCTGACACCTCAGCTGTTTAACCAGTGCTATGGGTCTGGCTCAGGCCAGGCACAGTGCTGAGCACTTCACGACGATCCACTCATCTCTTCCGCCCAGCAACACGCAGGTGTGACTGTTATCTCATTTTGCAGGTGGGGAGACTGAGGCATGGAGGGGTTTGCAGCCCCACATCAGCAGAGCCGGGGGTCACAGGCACTGGCAGCTGTGTTGCCTGGCCCTGCCCCGATGGCTCCCCATTATCTCTCAGGGAGACATGGGGACCCTGGATGGCCCTGGAGTGCAGGCGGGAAGGGAGTGCTTACTGCAGCACCCACTCTGGGCAGCTGGTGCCCTTGGCTAAGTCCCTTCCTGTCTCTGAGCCTCATTAAAAGCTCTGGGTGAGGGGAGTCAGGCACGTCTTACTGAACCCCGTGGTAGGGTCCTGGCTGCCTTCTGCTGTGCGTCTTCTCTGACACAGGGCTTTCCCACTTCCCCGGGCCGTGACCCTTGTGGCCTTCACGCGGGGCTCCCTCCCGAGGTAGGGGCACCCTCCGGGCCTCCCCGCCCTGTCCCCTTCCCTGCCGCCCGGGAGTACCTGGAGCCGGCAGTAGCACAGAACAGCGATGATGCAGAGCAGAATCACAGTCGCCAAGATGCCCCCGGTGATGACCACGGTCCCGGCTGTCATCCGCCCCCTTCTCCATCAACAGCCTGCAACACACGCCGCCAGCTTTAGAGCATCACGCTTCCTCACCACAAAAGTCACCCGTGCTATTCTAGAGAACTGAGAAGACAAGCCTGAGGGGGAAAAAAGCACTCCAGGATGTGCCCGGGAGAAGCAGGGGCTCTGCCTGGGACAGACTGCAGGAGCAGCCCCAGGCCCTGCTCTGCCTCAGCTGGCCTCTGTCCCTGCCCCTCTCCCAGACTCAGCTTCCACATCTGTAGAAGGTGGACGCTAATAGCCCAGGGTTTTGTGACGCTTTT